TAGGTGGTGCCTTTTAATATCCTGTTTCACTTCACCACAAGTGTATATTTGCGACAAAATTTGTTTTTACTTCTGTACATTTCAGTTTCATTTTCGGACAATTCAATGAGTATAAGGGACTGGTTTGATCATTTACCTGTTAAAATCAATAACAAGGTGCAGATTAATTTTAGCACTAAATGATGTTTGCAAGTCATATTAAACCCTATATACCTTTTATTAAACGTCAGCTATATGTATCAATAACAGCATGGTTTATTGAGATTCTTGTATCAATAGATTATACTTCAAACTCATTGTCTGCAGGAGGCTTTAGTGGGAAAATCAAATCAGTGACTTCCTTTGCTTGCAGACAGTGGATGTTAACATGCCTGCATCTAGGTTTATCGGGGTTCTGCTGATCCTCCTCCAGGCATCTAAGTTTGTTCTGAAACTAAAAGAGATTATGGTTCATTTTTTTGGTATTTTCAATCTTGGACACATGAGAAAATATCCTCAATCTTTTAATTTCAATATACAGTTCATGTGGTCAAATTTGTTCAGAATCTTGCATTATGAGTTTTCTTTTGTTTCTTCTGGTGTGTCTTGTGATTCTCTCCATGCATGTGTGTGTTTTAATGTGTGTTGTAGTGCATGTGTGAGTCCCTAAGTTTGTGTCACACTGCTCTGGGCTGTGCTGCCGGACGCTGAAGTGAAACGATGTGACACAGTGGACGTTTCAGAGATTGGGTACAGCTCTGTGTGTGTGTATGTGTGTATATGTGTGCATTTTTGCATAACACACTGACAGAATCCCAGGCCCCATGATGCTCGATGTATAGATGTGTATGTGCATTCTCTCCCTCAACCATGTCATGTGTGAATGCTTTTGGGCCCACAGTGCGTTCACTAACTGACCTACATTTCTGGAGCTTTTTGCCTGTGGCTCGGGAGACTCTGTGGCTGTAATCCCATCTAGCCAATCACATCCCCTAAACTCGTTTGTCCAATAACATCCTAGAACTCATCTGTCCAATGGCAGCCCCTGCCTTGAGGGGGGTCATCTTCTACTTTACGCTGGCCACTGCTGGGGGTGCACATGTGACCGACTGTCAATTTAAATATGGAAACACTCTGCATCTTATGGCCCAAATAGTGCAGAGGCCTGTGTAACTTGGACTCTCAGAGCTCATTTCTCACAATGCAGCGATGCAGCCCTAATTATTTCCCCTTGACTTGAAAGCATAGCTGTGTTTCTGTGAATATTGGCAGCTGGAGCCAAGGAAAAACATTTGAAGCTTTTGAAAATTCTTTGAAGCTTCCGAATTTTTGTTATCAAAGCTGCCTTTGTAGGCCGCATGAATTTTGCATGTGCAGGTTTAAGAGAACTTTGTGGTGTGTGTGTGTGTGTGTGTGTGTGTGTGTGTGTGTGTGTGTGTGTGTGTGTGTGTGTGTGTGTGTGTGTGTGTGTGTGTGTAAATAAGAATTTAAATTTCATGCAAAGTTGTAATGCTGTCCCTGACACAGGATTATGTCACTCTAATCTTAAATCACTAAAAAGTATTTTTTTAGGCTCTGTGTTTTTAATGACAGTTAAAAAACAAACAATAAGGATTCAGCGGACACAACGAGGGCTGAATTGAGGATTCTCTTCTGATTATACTAGTTTTGGAACATCAAAGTAAATGTTTTGTATAATTTGGTCACTGGCTTTGATGGTCAATCTTTCCTACATATCTAGAAAAGGAAAAAAAATGATTTTCAGATGGTGTTGTGTTTTGTTAATTTTCTGCCTCATGTTGCCTCAGTTTCTTGGTGGTGCCCCCACTCTCAAGCCTCCTCCTGCTTAGTATGTGAAAGGTGATGTGCCTAGCATACCATCACCAAATGATAGGTCTTGCTGGAATCTAAAGAATAACAAAACTGAATTTGTTCCTGGTGCTGGGCCAGCATAAACTGAAAGAAACAAAGTATTAATGAGGGATTTGGCTCCACAAACACACACACATCAGATTAATGCGACTAAATGCAACATACTGGCATTTCTGCAAGTATAAACCCATAATCAACAATGGCCTCATTGATTTAAAACGAGCACATTAAAGTTGATTTTTTGGTATTTTACTTCAATTAGCTGAAACAATTGAAAAGACGAGTTGAAACAATTTGAAGCAATTGGTATTTCACCCCTGTGGTTCAATATGACAGTAAGTGTTTGTTGGTGTTCTTAATGTTTATTAGTCATTTTGCAAGGTAAACTTTTGGTTTAAAGTTTCATGCATTGGCCTATCAGAACAAAAATGACAGGTGTATTTTTATATTTTGTTGGCAGGTATGGCCCAAAAAACTGCCTCGTCTATTCGTCTTCTTAAGTGTTAGCTTTAATATTGTCCTTCTGAGATGTGATCACATGATTTAATTCCTGAAGCTTGTGGTTAACCCAGAAATAAACTCAATCATTGTGCGACACAGTCCATAAAAGTCTCTATTGTTTGTGTTGATTTTTCCCCCTTTTAAGAAGTGTAATGAACATGTCAATGAGCTGTTACATTTGTGTACTTCCCCCTCACAGTGTTGCCATGCTGCTTAAATGACAGCACAAATTCCAAATAGTAAAAAAAAAAAAAAGCCAGTTTGCCCAATAGAAAATCCAAGAAATTAAGAATTCAGGCTGTTGCAGCAGTTTGGGGTGACTCTGTCCATGGTGCTGAATTGGCAGAAGAAAGCACCAATCCCAAAATACAGTATGCTTTAAAGTCTCTCTATTTTCACATGCACCCACACATGAATGTTTGTACTTCTATACTTGTAGGAACTCTTGTAGACATACAGTCATACATTCTCTAGCATCTTACACTATACATCTTAAGAGGTGTCTGAGCATTGTAACATTTTTTGAAGGGGGATGTTGACAAAAGATTTTTACAGGGATTCGAAAAAATGGGCTTTTGTTGTTATGGAATATTATTAGGACTATTTTAATTTTTAGAATATGGGCTGCTGAAACACTGGGCAGTTCCCGTTAGGGTAACAAATATTGAATTGTTTGGCATTAAACTCCAGCCCATTGGGATTGTATAATGGTGGAGCAAGTAATAATTCGTAGAGTTCATAGTTCAATCCAAAGCTGCCGTGTGTGTGTGTGTGTGTGTGTGTGTGTGTGTGTGTGTGTGTGTGTGTGTGTGTGTGTGTGTGTGTGTGTGTGTGTGTGTGTGTGTGGGAAAGATTAAATGTGCCTTCAAAAAAACAGCATATAAACAAATGCAGGGTAATCAGATAAAGTTCTGTAGTGTAGGAGTGTAGAGGTTGATTTTCAGCTTTAGTTTAAGGATGTTTACTTTCAACATTAATTATGAAGAGCTCCAATCAGAATTTTACAACATAAAAAATATCAAATTCATTACAATGCAAATTGAAATACAGGGAAATGTTTTGTTTACAATACCATGTCTAATTACTCCATTTCCTTTTGATAGGGTTTCATAAAAAAGGCAAATATTCCCATAATACTGTTCAACTATGTATGAAAACACCCTCAATGAATCCATTATTTGGTACTGTAAACAGACCAGACTAAAAGAATATGGTTTGCCTTATCCTTACAGACTAGTCTGCAGTATATTACTCAAACATTACATCCTGAAGCAGGACACACAAAGGAGAGAAAGAGGATTAATAACTGACCACATATTTTCTATCACAAGTTATTGAGCACAGACCTATAAAACTCCTCCACAGACCTTGACTCTTTGACACGTTGCTGTCTGTTGCTTGTAACGTCGCTGTAGGAGCTAATGTTTTGCTGCTGTGAGGTCTACTGTAATGATTTTATAAAAGATAAATAAATATCCATACAGACTGTGCTTCATGCTGATAGTTTTTGTCCTGCAATGTAAAGTATGTGGCCTGACAAGTGGCTACACTTGAACTGCGTGCATTTGTGTGTGTGTCTGTGTGTACGAGAGAGAGACTGTATGTGCTCCGTTAACCTTTCAATTCCACGGAATAAATGCACACACACGCATTTATACACACACACACACCTACATGTTTCTTTGTCTCTGTTTCTCTCTGTCTGCCTCTGTTTCCATTTAATGGAGGATGGGGTGGGGGAGGGGAGTGGGTCAGGTTGAAAATTGCAATATGTATTTATGTTTCTCTTCTGTATGAGGTTGCCAAGCAACAGCCGAACGAGGGTATTTACAGTTAATAAAAAAGTGAGTGACATTAGCCTGGTGTATTAGGTAAAGCACTAATTCGCTTTTAAGAGCTGGAAAGCAAGACAAGGGTGTGTGCTTGTGTGTAGGTCTTTTGTACATTTGACTAATAAATGCTTCGACACTATGTGTGTTTAGGCGCACATGTGGGTGTGTGTCTATTGTGTGTATATATGAATAATAAGCATCACACGGCCTTCTTTGTAGCTATGTAGGTGTGTTTGTGTTTTATGTTTGACGAAGAAAAGTCTTTGTTCTTTGTTTTATGTGCCTTCTAATCATTCTTCACTCATTCTGTATTTTCATTTCATGTGTTTTTAATGTGGACGTCGGTACACACAACATACATATGTTAAAAAATATTGTTCTGGTCAGTATTCATCTAATTGATCAGAAAATATCTGAATTCAGAGCATGATTTAATAATACAAACTGCTTTATGCTGCTATTATTGGTTTTTGGTTTTGGTTGCTGCTGGGTGCACTGGAGGCTGTGCATCAGCGAAATATGTCCTACGGGAAAAACGTCATAATTTAAGTACCCCCCCATCCCCCCTTCAAAAGAAGAAGAATAATGCTTCAAATATCTTTCAAATGATTTATTGAGTTCTTGCTATATATATATATATATATATATATATATATATATATATATATAAAAAAAACATCTATGAAGTCATTGCATCCTGTGTGACAGTAATTATTTTTTATTTGCTACAATCAGTATCTAAGCAGCAGTCTTCTGTTGTTTTGATGATAAACATGTCAGCTTGAATTAATGTCACGTTTCTCCACTTTTTCTCAGGTTTTGAAAGCATCTTGGAAGGCTTGTTTGGGCCGGGACTAGTCAAAGATATCACCCTTTTCCAAGGTAAACATGCTCACATACACAAACTTACTGCAAAATTCACACATCTTAGAGAGAACATAGAGAATAGAGATCAGTCTTAGTGGGTTACAAACTATAATGTCAAATTAAACAATATGTATTCGTATGCACAAATACATACACAGCTATAAGAAAATAAATTGTTGAAAGGTTTCTGCCAATAGTGATTTAGTTTTTGATTTTCTATTGGTGGCCTTTGACATTTCGTATGCACTTTGCAAAAAAAATCATTTTTCTGCATGCAGGCTTTAATTTGTTTTGCAGAAGCTCCGCTACAGTCTTGCTCAAGCTTGTGGGAGAATGTGTTTGATGTGTGTTCAATGTAAATACCAAAGTGAAAGTGTGTAGCAGCGTCTCTCCATCTATCTATTAATCTATTATAAAGACATTGTTTATTTTACAGCTTAGAAAACATAACAGTATAATTCATTTATAAAACAGACATGTTTAATTAATGCCAAACCCGATATGTCACTGAAAAGAGCAGAAGAGAGGAAGAGGAAAATATGGCATGAACATTTATTAAGGTATTGTGATGGTGTTTTCACTGATTTAAACTTGGCAGATTACATTCTCATCGTCAACATGTGTGCGTCAGCTATTAATGTAGTTAATGACCAAATGCACAAACAAAAGCAGCTCTCCTAATCACACTGGAAGACTGTACTCTTGCATAACGCTCTGTCTGCCCCATCTTTACTTTATTTTTGCTGATCAGCTTTTTTAAGACAGGATTTTATATTCAGTTTAAACAGTTTCCTCTAGTTCCTTTGGATGACTTTCAGTTTCTGTTTTGACGGCTTTACACAGTGAGATAAGAGGCAGCTAGAGGATCATTACAGGAGACTCAGACAGATGGATCCAGTAAGAAACACTTCCTGCTGCTTGACACATAGATGAAAAAACAAAACAAGTGTGTTGCCATGTTGGGATGTAACACTCATGTTTTTTTTTCAGATTTTCTTTTTTATTTCTGGGAAGAGACCTGATATTGGAAGTTGATTGAGCCTCCAGGGGGCTCATTTATCAACAGTGCATAAGCACGGTTCTGTGCGTAAGAACATTCCCACACAAATAGTAGGATTTATCAACTTGTACTTTTACTTAGAAATGTGTGTAAATATAAGCACAGCTCTGAGCATGCTTACGCACAGAATCTAGCGGTAGAACATTGAAACTACAAATAAAAAGCACTACGAGTGTCACAGCACGCCTGAATCAAGTCTCACCGTAGATGCATGTTCCAAGTTTTCTTTAATTAAAAACCCCAAATAAATTATTTGTCATGTTTGGAACAGACGTGTTGCCTAAATTAGTTCCAAAACCTTAAAAAAGACGCTGTAAATGTACCCTTCTTGGGTAAAATTGTGGATTATTCTGTTATGCTCCAGCTGCAAATGCCTCTCGCGTTTGTGCCGCGATGCGTTTTATTTTTTGCACTGAGCTTAATCTCAAACTTCATCTTCGTCTTTTCTCCTCTGACCTGTCACCTTCTCTCATGCAGCATTTGTTCTTGTGTCACTTAGCGCGAGAGTTACTAACCTTATTTTATCTATTTATCTATTTATTTATGTATTACCATTTTTTATTCAACCTCATCCACTTCCATTTCTGTTATAAAGCTCCTTTTCTTTGCTCTCGTATTATTCCGCCGAGGTAAATATGTTCACGTGGTTTTTAAAGAGGTGTGTTGTTACCATAAATGGTTTAGTGGAGGCGTTTCTGAATGCAGATGTCCCCGAACATGCACGAGCCTGCTGGTTAAGAACATGTACGATTTATCAACACTGATTACCTACCGATGTGCGTTACCGATGTCGCCTTAACCCTGCATCCTTTCTAAAGGCCAGCAGGGGGAGATGTTTTTGGTTCCAGAAAGAAGCACGTGAAAAAAGGCGAAAAAAGGCCTTCTTATCACTTGATTTATCCTCTCAGTGAACATTTCCTTAATGTGTTAATGCTCTCATTCACTAGTTTAACATCTCCATCAAAATGGCATCATGCTAGTCTTGTAAATTGCAGTCCCATGTACAGTTATATAATAAAGCAGGAGATACGTAAGGCCCTCTTGCTGGGCGTTTGCTGTAAATACACCATTCATGGTTGGATGTTCTTTGTTCCAGTTGAAACCTTTGTTATACCTGTTTTTACAAAAAATTAAGTAAACAATAACCACACACAATCACAATAATCTTAAATTATTGATGCAGCTAGCTGTAAAAGTTAGCGCTAGCTTGACCTGACCGCTAACCCCTCACTCTCTTCCAGCTCCACCAACCTTCTAAATATGGTCGCTCTAAAATAACAAAGATGAAGAAACCTAAATGCCAAACCTGAGGCTTTAACACAGTCCACTAGAAACCATTGGGGGAATTCACGGTGGTTATGTTCACTTTCTTATCAGCAAACAAACATAAGACATTGTCTTACTTCATTTTGATGAGAATAAAATTATAAAAACTCAAACTGAAATAGTCAGTGTGAAGAAGTGGAAATCACAAAGCCTTAGCGATGTACAAAAAAAACCTGGATTTAGGATGCTGTTAGAGCTGTTCTGTGTATGCAGTCATGTATGCTATTATTTATTTATCTCTAGGTCAATGCACAGTCCTTAAATAACAGTATGCATGTATGCATGTCATTTAAGCAACAGAGAGCCTTAGAGCCACAAGGGAAGTAAGGCACGTAATCATTGACAAAAATGAAGGTATACAACTGATCTTATTGATAGGTTTTCTGCTCAGAGTGACACAAATCGAACATGAGAATAAAGCCAGCAGAGCCCAACCTCACCAAAACCTCCAGCTCTCTCTCTCTCTCTCTCTCTCTCTCTGTCTCGCTCTCTCTCTCTTATTCTCTCTGAGAAACGAGGTCAATATGTCGTGTTGGAATCATGTGACTCCTCCCCCAACATCTTAAGGCATTTTTAGAATATTTCTGACTCGACAACGTCATTTTCACTCATGCATCACACTGCCACACAAACACATATAATACACTCTGTATTTGGTTATTTAACGAGTACTAGATAAAGAAAACACAGACACACACCTTCAACATTCAGTAAACCTGCAACAGTACAGTTTGATGTTGTAGCATTGAAACCTTCACACACTTGAAGACAAAAAAAAAGCTGTTTCCAATAAGTTTTCCCTCAAAGGGCTTTTATCATGTTTCACGTCAGTAATTTGTAATTTCCCAGAATTCCCCATGGCAATCTGCTTTACGAGGGGTACTTTCTGGTTGCTTTTTCTGCTGTCAGTCAGTCCTCATCAAGTTCTTAAATGTAAAAAATAATGATCATGTTGTATTGATATATTAGCAGGAAACCGTATGCATTATTAGTTGGCAATGTTCACAAGGGACAAGGCAGAAAACCAATATTGGATGTGTGTGATCCTCGAAATCTAAAGGGGATGAAAAAAACGAGACGATTCTGTCATGGACATCCCTGCATGGGCTCAGGAATACTTCCAGAAGCCTCGCTCTGTGAGTACAGCTCATCGCTGCGTTCGCAAATACAAGCTGAAACTCTACCATACAAAGAGGAAATACTATTTAAAATAGATTCAGAAACCCTGCCGTCCTTTATGTGCCCTGGCTGATTTAAAAAGGACTGAGGCAAAGTGAGACCTGCACTGTGGTCTCACTAGTCCAAATCTGAAATCTTGTTTGGAAGTCATCATAATCACAGTTCATAAGCCACCATGCATGATGGTATGGGGGAGATGAGCCTGAATCCAAGTCTGCATTCAGAAAGGCATGGATAATGACATGGATAAAGACATTGTTTATATCCTAAAATGCTAGTTATTATCCATAATTAAAAATAAGTCAATAAGTTTTTATGCAATGCGCTTCAATGAAGCAGCATGCGCCGCCTGAGGCTATGCAGCTCCAGTCATCTTCGTCTGCTCTGTCTGCATTCATTCAATGAGGCTGTGGCTTAATTTCAGTCAAACCTCAGCAACCTACAGCAAAAAAAAGAGAAGAAACTGTTGTTTTACAGCATGCGTTCATTTCTTCCATTTCATAAAGCCCCAGTCGAAGGTCGTTTCATGTTAAATGGACCTGAGCTTGTATAACGCTTTTCTCTTCTGACTACTCAAAGTGCTTTCACACTGCAGGTCACACCTACCCATTCACACCCAATCACACATCGATGGCTGCTATGCAAAGTTGCCATCAGTTAGCTAATCCCATTCATACACATTTGCAGTATATGCTGCCATTGAAGCAGTGGGAGGAAATTGGGCTTAAGTGTCTCTCTAACCCCCAATAGACACATTGGACCTGAGGAGTTTGGTATTGAACCCCTAAGTTTCCAGTTGACACAACCGACTCTTCTACTGATCCACAGCATTCAGTCCACATAACATAAGTTATTCCCTAGATATTGTGGAACCCGTCTCTCTACTCGCAGGCAGCGGGCTGCACACTGGCGTTGTGGCCATCTCTCATCATCTCATATTGGGGGAAACTGGCTTGAAATAGAGCAAGTAGTTTCTTACTTCAATCAATAAATCTGAAATAGTGCTACATGTTGAACAGCTGAAATCCCTCAGCACTAAGCAAGTATGGTAAAACAATCCACTTTCAGAACTACACAAACTGGTCTCCTTAGTACCCAAACACTTACAGAGTGTTGTTAAAAGAGAAAGGGATACAACAGAGAGGTAAACATGACCCTTTGTGAAATGTGTTAGATCATATGTGAAATGGGCATAACATTTTTAAAAGTAGTCAAATGTCTCAGTTTCAGCATTCAATATGTTGTCTTTGTGCCCTTTTTTAATTAAACGTGGGTGTTTCCAGCTATTTAAAGGTGGGTTTGTAATAGGAGGAAGACATAAAAATGCTACAAATCTGCTGTGTGGTGGGATTCACATTTTTGGGAAAGCAAAAGGGATTAATTATCCACTCATCATTGAATATTATCCAGTGATTATCAAGTCATATTTTGCATGCATTTCCCATCCCTAGCATATAACTTGTTAAGCCAGCTGCAGGTGTTTTATCAGCTTTTTTGTACCTTGGTTGCAAATCATGCACCTTCCCATTGGGCGTGTTTTACTCAATTTTAGAAAGAAGTCTTTGCTTTGAGATTTTGAGTTTTTATCACTAAAATCTGGTGATTAGAAATGACATTCACTTACCAACATTTTATAGAATCTTTGGTCTACGGCCGGCTTTTAAACTATAATGGTGGTGACACTCATGTAACTAAAGAAAAATTAGTCCTGCAGGTTTTCATATTAACGTAAACACCATCACCATCTTTAAGCTTATACTCACACAGGCGCAGAGAAACTTGACCACAGTAAGAGGTTGCAGGGTCACATTATCAGAGGGACTGGAGCTAATTGTGTCTTCGTAGGGATGTTGTAAGCAGCACAACCGCAGGGTTCAAAGGCAGCCCTTGACCTTTTAACCTTTTTCAATACAGCAAGTGGCAGAGCAAAAATGAAAAAGAGATAAATAAAATGTCCATGCTATATGTGTCAAAGGAAAAAGCAGACTGTGATTAGAAAATCCAAAAGTGTTATCTTCTGGATAATAAGGGACAAATAATGTATGAACTTCAGCTTGTGTACCAACACACAAACACAGATTGAAGAGATGAAACAGGGAGTTCAGGTAGAAACCAGTGACAGGCTCACACTAAAGATGGAGGCGCATGTCATATATGTCCAGTTTTGTCCGAGCAGTAGTCTTGCTGTTCACGCTAGAAGCACATTCCACCTCCCTGTAGACAAACTGCTGCTCTGCTCTTTTCTCATCACATGTACGACTGATCTGTGTCATCATTTCTGTCTGCTCAGTTTGCTCTAGAGGGTGTTCGTCTACCCGTTTCTCATATCTGCTTTACTGACATATTCTGTGCAATTTGTCAGTGTGAAGGAAGGCATATAAGATTTTATATATCACTTTAAATGAACCCTTTTAAGTCAAAGCTTTCTTATTGTAATGCGAGGTGAAGGACCATGATGACATAGAAAGGATGAAACATGTGAAACTGATTTTTTACTGTTAAAAAGCGGTTAAAAAGGTCACATTTTGGAGAAAGGAGGTTGTGATGTGACATAAACTATATGTTCCCAGTATACTGTGACCATATTGATTTGCTCTTGTGTTTCTGAGCTCTCTCTCTCTCTCTCTCTCTCTCTCTCTCTCTCTCTCTCTCTCTCTCTCTCTCTCTCTCTCTCTCTCTCTCTCTCTCTCCCCTCTCTCTCTCTCTCTGGAGCTGACCCAACCTTCTGTTTTTTCTCTCAGCAACACACTCCTTTTACTTCTCTCCTTCCTCTCCTTTATGGTGTAACTCTCGCTCTCTCTCTGTATATGTCTCTTTTATTCAGTGGTTTTTCTGGCTGAACTATAGGTTTTTAAAAGGCAGTATAGCACCATGGCAACAGCTCAGCTGTAACCAAGTCAACTGCATTCTCCTCTCTGTTTCTCTCTTTTTTTTTTGTTAAGTTCTGAAGCTTCTCTACTGGTTAAAATACACTTACAATTTGACTTAAATGTACAAAAACCTGCATAAATACACAATTCTGAACTCAAACTAATCTAAACCTGAACTGACAGTACACATCACCTGAATCAATCATAAACCCACAAGGACAGGATTAATATTGATAAAAATCATCAATGACTGACGGTTCATTGCTGAGATAGTTTAAATTCTGTATGAATAAGTATCTGAAATAATTTCAAATACTCTGATTAGGGGGGCGCGCTGGTGGCGCAATGGTTAGGGCGTGCGTCCCATGTATTGAGACTCTCGTCTCGAGTGGTAGGCCCGGGTTCGCCTCTACCCGTGGCCCCCCTCCGCATGTCATTCCCCCCTCTCTCTCCCTGGTTTCCAACTCTATCCACTGTCCTCTCTCTGCATTAAAGGCACAAAAAGCCCAAAATAAATCTTTAAAAAAAAAAAAAGACTCTGATTAGCACATTCCTTTTTATTGTGGGTATGAAATCTGTTTTTTTTTTTGTAATAAAAAATGAAATGTTTTTTTATTTTATTTTTGTCTTACAAATGAATTGCAGATCCTTATTCATTCATAACGTTGTTCAAATTGTAAATGTTAAGAGTTCTCTCTCCATTCAATCAACACGCTGCAACTCTTAACACAAATTGTAGTTAATCTTTTCATTTATGCACAGATTTTGACTTTTGGTGTTAAGAAATGACTGCAGGATAGTTGTTTGTGGTTGGATTATTTAAAAAATCTGATCTTTTTAAGAAATCTTGATCAGGTATAGACCTGTGCTTGTTTTAAATCTAACCTTTTTCAACCTGTTTTTTGATATCATTGCACACCCAATACAGATGTATAATACAAAAGTCTCATGTATAAAATAAAAAAATAAAAATCTTTGTATAAGATAAATACATAGAAAGGAGTGCTTCCTGGACTCAAAACAAGAGTTAGCGTTTGGATTGAGATATATGCAGTCAAAAACCAAGGACATAAGTAAGGCACCCTCTTTTAAAGATCCATAATGTCTTTATTCTGATGGCACGGTCATGTCTCCTATGTGTAGGCATAAAGCCGTCATCGGGAACTGTTTGTATTTTCTTTTACTGTTGGGTAAGAAGAAGTTTAAACTAGAAGCCTGGAAACTGAGCAACCAAAAGAGAGCAGCGAATTTCATCATCTCACCAAACCTGATGTACAGAACGCAGTCTTGAAATCGGATAATTACTTCCTCTATAATACAGCTTTAGGACATGAATACTTCACAAAAAAATAGTAATATTTACTTACATATACACACTGAACACACACACACTCAATATATATCAACTTCAATTAAAATGAGGATATTTTGACAGAAATCAAAGATTTTCTTTGCAGTTCTTGTTATTCTTATTCTAAATTTTAATTCATGAACTGCATACATGTGTGATTTGGGATAAAGCCTACTGTATATTTGAGATTGTAGATGAAGCTTGAAATAAATTTATGCTAAATCTGTTTTCCTCTCTCAACCAGACTGCGAGCCAGAAGAAGTGTCAGACTGGTCCTTTGATGAAAGCTGTCTCTTCTGCTGCTTAAGACGTGAGAGAGTCAAGGTACGAGTCAAGATTTTAAGTTAGAGCTTTTATGTCCTAACTGTTCGATACTGCTGGACATGGTTGGTTTCATCTCTTCTCCCCCCGTTACGTTTACTGGAGTTTTCCTAAGCTTCATAAATGCATGTTAAAGTGTAGCACTCTTTGCATTGCTTCTGGCTTTTCAGTTTTCCATTAACTACATTTTTTAAAAACTTTTACTCATCTCAACACATTTAGCATCTGAATTGTCTAAACATAAGGAATATCAGGGTTTTAAGTGTTCACTTTTGCAGTCACTTAATCAATGAATAAATTTGGAAAATATATGATTAAATTAAATGGCCTTTAATAAAACTTAACAAGAACACAGCATGTTTGACAAAGACAGGGAAAGATTGTTTCTTTTCCTGATGTTAAACTCATTTAAAAAACACATTTCTGACTTGGTCACGGGTATGAAATAGTTTCCTTTCTCCGTCCATTTTGTGTCTTTTTGTGTGCCGCCATTTTTGAAGCTTTCTGTTGGACGCTACACGGCTTTGTCTCTCGTCGTCCTCCTCCTCCTCTTGCATACTTGTTATTTGTCTTGTTCAACCATCATGGTCCTGACCCCAATTTAGCTTATGAAAGGAAAGAGAGACATAATGATTTGAAGGTTCTTGTGTTCTATGTATATGTGTGTGTACTTGTAAGTAGCGGGAGGAGGAAGATGGTGACATGGGTGTAAATTAGTGAGACTGTGCCGCCACCTCTTAAGAGTTTCTCATTGGCTAAAAAGTGATGAGAGCAGAATAATAATGGGTTTAGGGGACCTAATACTACTTAATACACACAGCATAGATAGAAGTGCATACATGGGCCTTGTTGTTGCTGTTTCTGCATCTTCTGCTGCAGACAAAGCCTCCATTTGGTGTAACCATTCACCATGACAGGCATCCACTCCAGCACCAAATACAAAATGAGGAACAATTGGTGTTCTGTGGGTTATCTGCGAGAAAAGATACAAATGCCAAGTTAAGCAGTATTTAAGATGGATTCCTTTTCCAATCATCCGAGTATTTTGAGGTCCTTTCTGTTCATGCTTTCCATCTCCTTTTTTATTTTTGGGATGTGATTGAACAAGAAAAATGAGAAGGGGAAGGATTTAGGAGGGGCGTCCTGCCCCTCAGCCGTTGCTTGTTTTTCAACTTGACCTAGGTCCAACCTCTGAGGTCAGCCATCTGGTTCCTAAAAACATCCTTGCAACACCACCACCACCCCCCTCACTCAACCCCCATCTGTCTCTGTTCATGGTTATAAAACCATGCCAACACTCGTACAAAAGCACAATAAAGTTCTTGTGTTTCATGCTATAATTGCAGATAGGATTTGAACAGAATAGGAAAAATCAAAATCAATCAGCAGAGCAAAATCAATTAAACAAAGCCCAGGAGACTGCAGGATATCTTTTCAGCAGTATTTTCTGACTGGTCAATAATTATGTTAGCCATTCTTAGCGTGCAAATTATAATAAGACTAAATTTGCAGCAGGCTTAATTACATTCCTCTTCTCCCTCAACACATTTTTTTTTATCTTTTATTCATCCTTTAGGGCTTGAAAGCTCTCTCCGTCTCCCTGTTATTACCCTCTGCTTGTTTGTGAAATGCCAGAGGAGCTTCAGTGGGCGGGAACCATTGATTCATTGATCTGAAGCCATGCAAACTGCCAGCAGATAGAGAGAGCTGAGGGGGGGTAAAATAAAGAGAGCGAGAGGAATAGTGAAAGCCTTAAAAAAACGTTCTCATCTCTGTCTCTGTTCTTTAATGCCAACAGACACACACACACACACACACACACACACACACACACACACCAACAACGAGATCCCTGTTTAGTGTTGTAAATACAGTGGCAGCACACTCATTACAACTAACAATGACAGTGGTGTTAAGCCCCTTTTACCATTCAGTCTGACTTCATGTTCAAACTTAGCAGTATTTATTTTCTTTTAGAATGATCTCTAAATGGCAGACCTGTTCCTTCATCAGGTTCAACAGCTTTGATATTTAAAAGAAGACATTTGATTGGCTGTCAGCTTAAAAAAGGCCCACTACCAACACCTGAGCACCAAATTGAGCCACCTCTTGTCTTCTCCCTGTTTTTTATCAGTGATTTGTGAGCTCATGTTGTATGTTCCTTCTACTTCTTTTTAACTTTACACTGTTGCTAGAGCTCATTAAATATCATCAGTATTATGCAGAATTGTTGTCCTTAATATGGAAGTATTTTTCTGTCATTTTTCAAAAGCAATGTCTTGCAATTTGGAGCGTTATTTTCTATTATTTCTGTACTGAAGTAGTTGCTGTGTGCACTTGGAATAACTCTGCTTGTGCTTGCATGTAAAGACTTCTATCCAGATCCTCAAACCATATATGTCTTTAGTACGCTAGGGAAAATGTCTGGTACCAATAATCCTAAGGGTAGTACAAACAAGTCAAAGTGCACAGGTGAGTGCAGGGTTGTGAGAGAAAGCGTTAAAAATCTAAATGTATAAAAACACGGTCATGCATTATGACATCAAACAGAAACCTCTTGCCATAATTGCCCTGCTAGTACTTCGTCTTCGCATTTGTGAACCATTTGCAATCAATGTGTCTGAGTGCAAGCATACAGTCCAAGTACAAGCAAAGCAAATCCAAGCACAATACAGTAGTTCAGTGTGAGGAAGCCATTACAAAATCTCAATGTTCAATCATAATTGTATGCTGTCAAATTGTCTAGACTGACTCTGGGGTGGAGTTTTTTTTCTATTTTTTTTTTAAATCGGGTATTTACTCACTGACTTTCTGTGTTCAAATGTAGGATCACGGCATAGACAACGGTGGAGGCAGCCAGGTGCTGTCGGAGTGTGAAGACTTCAAACAGGAGCAGTCTCGGATCAGCCGGCTGGAGAGACAGGCCCAAGACTTCCTCAATGCTGTGTTCCACAAAAAAGGTCCAACACCATCAGCCATTATTTTTCACATTTTTGGATTACATTGTGCAAATACATATATATATATATTAGGGAGGTATATTTTAGAAAAGTTAAGTCAGACAATACGGTTAAGGGTATCCAGTGAATATAAGGGAATTAAATTAGTATTTGTTTATTATGATCACTGTTTATTATGGTTTAAGAATTTATTTTTTTAGACTTGAAAGCAGTCCAAATTACTAAAGACATAATTTTGGTCCAAAATTTTAAGGTAATCAAAGTATTTTAGTTTAACCTGCATTGAGTTTGGGAAAACTAAGCTTAGGATCATGCTACTCATACTAATGAAGGACATAAGTCCCTAGCCTGACGTGTGAACTTGTGTGTCTTCAACAAAATTTTGACATTTTTCATGCAGTTTAAATTGAAAGGGGACCAGGGATTGATCCCTGAGGGACACCACATGGAACTTTCTCCGAGTTTTTCAATTGGAACAAAGACATGTATACCCTCCAGGTAGACCCTAAATTGGTTAAAATCTGGGCCAGAGCCAGACCCATTTTTCCGACCTGTGCCATCATTACTTTGAGAGGCCATGTGGGAAACTCTGTACAAGGTCGTTTCACTTGCTGGCTTAAAATTGAGCTAAGGTTTAAAAAAGAAACTAGTGCGGATTGTGGGGGGAACTTTAAAAATAGAAGAACTTGTATAAGCTTTAAGTGAGACGTATTAGTACATTTTTCACATCATGGCACAAATACAACTAAACACTATTTGCATATGTGTGCAGATAAGAATTCAAATTTGCATGTCCATTTTAACTCCAAAACCATTCTCACATTTCAAGTTCCAAGTGGGAACTGCAAACAATGAGCAGTTCACAAAACAGGAAGTCCTGGCCTGTATATCAAATAACAGTTATTGAGGAATGGCCTGGCTACAATTGAAGCCTCAGAAATAATAGCTGGCAAACAAGAGCCAATGGATTCCAAGATTGGGAAAATAACTACAGTAATTGTTCATCATCGTCATTTACGATAGAAACAACTAATTTAATCTCAGTTATTTTATTTATTATTATCTCAAGGAAATTAGGGTCCAGCTTTCACATTCAGAAATATCAGATGACCAATAATATTGCCTCTACTTTAGTTCAGGTGCAGGTATCTACGTACATGCACCGTCAGCTCTGGTGCATGGCTTAAATCAGCACCCATTTAAAGTCAGAATATTTGCTGAGTTACTGTAACTCCCTCAAAACTGTGAGTGTATCGTGTTCTGTCCTGAGACAGGTTGATATTTAGTGACATAAGCGAGCTGAGCTTAGTACATGATTTCAGGTGTTGTATTTTTTCCGAGATGGTGGAAGGGAGGCAGGGTTTTTTTCTGGCTGAAATTAGGCTGAGGTGCACACATGTGCATGTATACCCTGCTGACAGGCTTTACTAAACACCTAAACACTTTCTACCATCAATGTATTTCAGGAATTCTGATTATTGTGAAATTTAAGAAAGGATAATTCTCTCTTTTTCTAAAAATATAAATATTCCCTGTTCAAAATTAAATTCAAAACAACATAAAAGCTAATGTATTGGTTTACTTAAAATCACTGGCAGGAACAACTCATTGCCAGCTGGATATTGGTAAAGACATTCCCCTAATATCTCTACTCAAGTATATGTTCTGTAGCAAAAAAAAACCCACCTCTATCCACAGAATTATTTTCACTTCTCTTTTCCCCTTTGTTCCACTTTTGGAAGTTTCGGCAGCACATTTTCTTACAGTATATACTTGACTGATTACAATTAGTGCCTTAAATGACAAATTCAAGTGCTGTCTTCTTCTTAATGAAAACACATATCAGGGGTGCCGGATAGCATGGTTATGTCACATGTCTCTTCTAAGGAGTCTGTAGGCTAATGGCCCTTTGTTGTCTTCAGCTTAAAAAAAACCCCAAAACATCAGACTTTGACGAGGACCGGGGCAGGAGGAAACTAGGCAGAGGCTGCCACCTCGTAGTTTTGTATACAAGACGAACCCTGGGAGAAAGCAAATGTCTGCCCAATCCATGCTCAGCCCCAATCAATCTGGCTTCGCTTGCACAGTTCAAGATGCCTGTGGAGATGCAATATATACAATGAAAAAAGGTCACACAGTCATAGGCATGATGGGACACAAACCCACACTAACACAGGTTTTAATACAGTAACACACCTGTCAGAACAAAGTCAGAACAGTTAAAAAAAACAAATTGTATCAACATATTCAAATTAAGCTCAGGGTTATGCTATTATGCAACATCTCTGAACTGCTGTACACGCCGCACTACACTGGGTATGGTTAAGACAAATCCATCATGAACTTCCTGTTTTTACCACGGGTAATGTTCATTCTGTAGAGGGAAAGAAGACAGCTGCATTCACTGTTGTATTTTTCAAACCAAGCGTATCTGACAGAGCTGTTATCGTTTAAAAAAAATATATATCTAGTTTGTTTATAACCACTATCTTTCTTACCGCAACATGATATTGATTCAAAAGGCCCAGACAACACACAGTGGCTCAGCAACACATTCACGACAAAATGTGAGCTATAGCCAAACTTCCTCTCTCAGGATGGAAGAAGGAATTCCTCAAAAAAATGCAGCTGCCAAATCACTTTGTTGGCTCTGTGATAGGAAAGGGAGACCCCATATGAGGCTTTGTTGTAGCAGAGCAAGACCTGCTGTATCACTTTGCACAAGCCTGTGGTGTAATACACAACAGCCATACCAAGCAAGCAAACGACTCCCAAACACCTCACAGATTTAAGAGGTGGCTTTTTTAAAACCCTGCTCCTTTCAAAGTGGTGCTGCAACATTTGGACACATTTCCAGCAAACTCAACCCACTTCCTATGTTTTCTTCACATTTCAGGTTTGTTTGGTTGTGGCGGAGCAGGAAAAGGCCACACAATGCTTCTGCCTACTAGAAAAAAATAACCCTAGTAGATCTATGAACTGGTCTTTGACAGGACACAGATTTTCAGCACAGTTTAATCTCTTTTATTGCTATGTCAACAACATAATTTCAGTGGCAGGGATTACAATTTGAGATGCTTAGGTGGAGCAAAGATGTCAAATAACATTAACAAAGGATTAAGCAATCTATCACAAACAACAAATGGCAACAACACCTGCACACACACACAGCGGCACGGCCTAATAGCAGCCTGGGGTCGACACAAAGTCACAGGTTGATTATGGAGACTGCATATTATTAAAGCTATAACACCATTAAAATAAAGTGTGTATGTATCAAATACAGGAATAGTGTACTCATTGGGTTGCTCAGTACATAGGGTTTATTGTTTATGGTGTACTGTTAACGTCATTGTAACTGACTGCATACATCCTATATACGAGGGATCTAATCTTCCTAAAAGATTTCTAAGTATGCATTGTGAATGTACTCTTTTATTTTTTATTGATAATTACCCTTGATTGTCTGAGATTTTGTGTTGAAGGACTTTTTTCGATCCATCCATTCAAAGGAGTTTATGACTGTTCTTTAAAACATTTCCAGGATCAAACATTATTATTTTTAGCTGTATTTGAGTGTTTTTTTTAATTCATGTCTGACATTTCAATGGTTCAACGCAATGGTACTTTAAATCATCTGAAAGACCATTTGTTTTGTCTTGTTCATTGTGTTTTTGACGTTCTTATTGAAATTATTAGAATTGGTAAGCTAAAAAGCAAACGTGAACATAAAAAGATTGTCTAAGTGCAGGCTTGTCTTTTTTGAGTGTGGGTTGTTCTAAAGTTCACTGTAAGCTCATAAAAGCAAACGATTTTTTGAATCACTTTTCACACTAATGCTACATGTTTGACACATGTTCAGACAGATGTGATCAAAAGCTGTTTCTGCTCCACATTTCCTTTTTCTTGTGTAAATCCCAGCCAGGCGCAAAATGGAAATGATATCAACAGGCAGCTCGCTGGAGTCTTTTCAACAGTGACACCCAGTCTTTACAAAATCTTAAAAGTCAACAATGACAGTGTCTTTAGTTGTGAGAGCTTAAGTGTAGTTTAGGGTAGTATCACATTTTTGAAAAAAGTAAATAAATGAACAGATTAGGGATACACTTGTGGAATAAGTAGAAAAAAAACACACAACTTTAAAAAAACAAGAATCATGAAAAGTCACATTAAGTCTTAATGGGAAACAACAGTGGCATGCACCTGCGGTACACTCACACTATGCTATGCAGGATTAAGTGCTGTATATACAGAGCAGTATATACATGTGTTTTTTGGATTATTTCAGCATAGCTGCAGGATTAGATTTTAGGGCTGATGTATTGTTTTGAGGATTTAAGGTTTGACTTGTAGGCATGCATGAATGAGTCTAAATGATATAGCTGCTGGTTATGAAGAGATAAGTGCAGTTGATTTATCTGGGACAATGCCAGATTAATGCATTATTAACAAATATGTCATCATTGTCGCTGTTTTGCTCAGGATGAATTAACCATTGAGATCAGTAACCAGTGTTTGATTTGAGTTTTTTTATCACAGCGGGAGATAATGGAAAGTTTGGTTTAACATCTGTGATTATTTCCCAGGCTCATGGTGGTGTTCTGGTACTTGTTGCACTTTGAAATAGTCATTTCAATACATTTATTATGGATTTTACTGCACAAACCTCTATGAGACCTATTGAGGCCTTATCGAGTCTGGATGCTTGAACCTTTTCATATTGTCATTTTTAGAAATACTCACTCTAACTGTTGGCATTGTAAATTGTTGAAGCAGCACTTATCTGGTTGGATTTTTGTGTTTGTCGGTTATGTGTTCTGTATACACTGGTGCATTTATACAACTGAAGTTCTTACCAGTTAAATAAAGTTATATAAATTAAAATCAATTGTGCTGGTTAAAAATAAAACAAGGAATGTAAATTGATGTTTTACAAAATGATTTGATCAAATTTGACATGATATTAAACAAAATAATATGATCCAATAGTCTAATCCTACAGTTCACTATAACACTGTATGCCTGAGAACAAATAATCATTACAAAAAAAATCTGAAATAAACTACAATAACCCACTGCTTACTTAAAAAGGAGAAAGGTAAATCATCAAAAAGAGAAGCAGTATGCAGAGGCAATGATCTGCTGTAAACACTGATATCATGGTTGATGCCATCAGGGTCAAACAGAGGGATTAGATTACGCTCCTGGATGATTTTTGGATTATTTCAGTAGAGCATCAGGATTACATATTCAGGATGATATGAGATAAAATAACTGGCAAACATTTCGATGAGTGTAGAAATTCCTAGAGAACATGCTGCTGACATATGTCCCTCTGTTTTCTTGTTTCTCTGCAGACCTCCCAAGTTTCTCAGAACCTCACATTCCTCTAGTGGCTCGTGAGATCATGCAGCGAATGATCCGCCAGTTCGCTGCCGAATATACCTCAAAAACTACTCAGGACGACTCGCCCCTGCCCAACGGCATCATGAAGGACCAAAGCCTGCCGAGAGCTGCGTCTCTGGCCCAGGCACCCGGCTCCCCGCCTGGGCCCCTGCTCGCCCCAAGTTCCCCTCAATCGTCTGCCTCCTCCTCTCCATCCCCCATCCCAGGCCTCAGCCCCACCTCCGCCGCTGCTGCCGCCTCAGCATCCGCCTGCAGCAACGGTACAGGAGTCACTAACGGGGGTGGAGCAGGAGGAACGGTTGTTGCCTCTGCACAGAATCCTGTCCTCAGCAAGCTTCTCATGGCCGACCAGGATGGCCCGCTGGACCTCTCCGTCAAAAAGAACGACCAGGACGACCAGGAGCCCAGCCAGCAGGGTGAGAGCAACAGACCGGTTGTTATTTTAGCCCTGACCCTAACCCTAAAATACTTATATCAGTCAAATCTAGAGGGTTTAAGGTAGTGTAAAACCTTGATTTATACAAGATAAAATGATTGTTTTTAAAACCAGAAACATCACTTTCTCCAAAGCCACAAGACTCCATTGTCAAAAACAACAAATGTCCCTGGGAGAAGTCTTTCTTTTTCTACCACTGTCTTTATCAGTGAGTTTTTTTGTGTCATTGTTTAAGAAGAAACATCTAAATCTAGCAAAAGGGCTTTGCCAAAGTAGATTAAGAATCAGACAAATACCGTATTTTCCGCACTATAAGGCGCACCGGATTATAAGGCGCACCTTCAATGAATGGCCTATTTTAGAACTGTTTTCATATATAGGGCGCACCGGATTATAAGGCGCATAGAATAGAACGTGTTTACAACTGAACAAGGCTGGGAGATATTGTGAATATGCACATTAACGTTTGAACAACGTTGAGTTATTGTGAATGCACTACGTAGTGCACGTAAAAGAAACACAGTCTGATACCGCTAATTCAAACGTTAGTGCATAACTCAACATTGTTCAGTTACGTATAACACGTAAAGCTCACTTTTTCAGTTCATTCCCCGTCCACGAATCCCTCGAATTCTTCTTCTTCAGTGTCCGAATTGAACAGTTGGGCGAGTACGGCATCCAACATGCCCGGCTCCCTCTCGTCATTATCCGAGTCAGTGTCGCTGAGCGCCGTGTACAACCAGTATGGATCAACCAATTAACCAATTGATCCATATATAAGGCGCTCCGGATTATAAGGCGCACTGTCGTTTTTTGAGAAAATTAAAGGCTTTTAAGTGCGCCTTATAGTGCGGAAAATACGGTATGTCCAAAAATTAAGTTACCTTTTCAAACCGCAAAATTGTAAAAACTTGTAGTGAGTAAGATATAGAAGATGATGTAATAAAAATGTTTCCATCACCTTGACGTTGTAAAAGGACAGACTGCCTGCACAGGTTCATTTTCCACTTGCAGAAACACATTGATCACATACTGATTCGTCTCATGAACAGATCGCTGAAAAGCCATCATCTTTTGGATTGAGCCTTTGCAGCGGCGTACTGATCTCTGAAATGTAGCCCAGGGCTCAATCTGCCTTTAATCAATGTAAACCAGCAGGGAGTCTGTGTTTCCATCAACCAAGCCGAAGTCCCCTTTTTTTAACCTCCACCGCAGAGTGACCGGTCACACACTCTAATACCAGCTTTTTGGAATCTGCTTACAGTAAGCCTCCTTAATTTTGACAAAAAAGATTTAGGCATTTACATCTACCTCAGCCTCACACATTATCTCTCTCACACACACACACACACACACACACACACACACACACACACACACACACACACACACACACACACACACACACTCATGAATGGGATCACCATTTAGACAAAATGTTTCACAGATAATCCTCAAAGCTGGATCAGATATGCACATATAGTTTCAGGGTAAAAAAAAACACTGAGTCTAATCGATATATCTTCATGAACAATAAATGAAATGACTACATGTTATGTAAAATAGTGCAGTAATGAGCATACAGGGCCCTATAGCTCTACTGATTTTTAATCCTCTTTTGGCTCTCAGTTTTGGTGCGTTGGGTACGTTAACTGTGTGGTTAAGCCTCAGCTATACTGACTGTATATGCCCATACAAAAAAGCAGCAGGTACTTTTTTCTGCAAATAAATAAGCGATCTTACCATTTTGGCTTGTGTAGGAGTTAAGGTTGAACTGAACTGTAAGAGGGAGACAAATAGCTGAGACATTATTCTAAACTGACAAATCAGATTCTACCAACTAAATTCTGAGTCGGGTACAGCCCCTAAAATTAGCTCTGAAGAACCTGCCAGGCCAGCTCTTTACAGCTGTCAGACAAAGTTAGCAATAAGCTTTTCAACATGGTGGAACATTTAGCTGCTTACGAGTCAGCAAACAACTAGCAGGAGAGAGAATCAGGGCAAGTTCATCAGGTTAACACAAACTCAACTACAGGGAGGTCTTTGTATTGCTCTCTGTCCACTGTATCCAGGGTATCTGTTTCCTGATGCATGGATTTATCTTGCAAGGTGATAGTAGGTCAATAGTAAGTGAGGACGGTTGACAGCTGTACAGTAAGCTTCAATAAGTAAGGATAATGATTAGCAATAGTGTATTCTACTATATAGAAAGTTATAACTCGCTTGTTTTTTAATCCAAAAAGATACCATCCACCCTCCGCCGCTGATGTATTCCAGGAGGTGTCGCTGATCCAGCATCAGAGCTGAAATTACAAATTAAGACTGGCTGTTTGCGCTGCTACTATCAAGCAATTATTTGTATCTTTATAGCTTCAAAAAACAACAAAGGTGATCTAGTCACAATGTTCATACAGGGCGCAAGTGACAGCACCAGCTCCAATACTCTTTTGAATATCATTTTCTACTTCAGAACAACATATTTGGTCAGGGCATTTTCCAAAAATCTGGGAATACATTACTCACCAAGAAATTTCTTCACCCATGTGTTCGTAAAGGTTTCTTTATTATAAATATGAAAAGATTTAAATTCAACTTCTGTAGTCGGGGATGCCTTCCGTAACCAAATAAAATGTCATAAAACATCATGGTGTCTATTTTATTTGTTACAGTCAGAAAATTAGGAAACATCTGGTCCAAATAAAAAATACCTTCAAAGTCATTTGAAGAACTGTGATGGCATTATTGAGTTCTCATATTGGTACTCGGTATCGCTGAATAGCTAAATCTCAGTACTTGTACTTGACCTGAAAAAAAAGAGTGGTATCTGGCTGCATTTCATGATGTGATTAGCATTTTGATGTGATCACCAATTTGCATAAATCTGCAAATTTACTAAAACAAGAAACAGTATTTTGACTCTAACCTTTTTTAGAACCAAAATAAGGACAAAAACATAGCTGCTTAAGTACATTTTTATGAGCTCAGTAAAGACATCATTTGTTTTACTTTTTGTGATGATGTTTTAGATGTAAACCCTGCACATTTTGTGACTAATGTTCACTTTGGTTACGCTTCATTTCAGATTGCAACTTCATTTCTCGTTCTAGACTATATCGGGGATGCTAAGATTAAAATGAATTTTATTGTCGATATTCAATCGCTCCGGTCTTTACCATGACTGTTTTTCATCTTAATATCACCTCGTGTTTTATTTTCGGTGCGATTAAACAACGAAAAGCTCCTAAAGATTAACAAATCCTTTGCCCATATTGGACTGTGTGGGTTAGAGGGGTCAGAAGGTCAGCTGCACTCTAGGGATTACAGCCGCAAAACCCACAGAGAGACATTGAGTTCGTTCATCATCATTTACAGTTTTGTATTTGTGTGTGTTAGCTGATTTTTATAGACTTCAAAAAAGCAATAAATACATGTCAAATCTAGTTTTCAAAAACGCTCTTTGAAAAGCTTTGACCAATTTTTTGAAAATAATCATTAATAAAATGTCTATGTCCAGGCTTCCTCTGTCATAAGAACCTAAGATTATTTAATGCAGGTCTCGAGTCAGGACAAAAAAAGTCTAAACCTATAACACAAATTAAATCACTTACAGTCAGAGTTAAAGTTTTTTTGATATATATTAATATATTTCTTTAGTGTGTGTGTGTGCGTGTGTTTCTGTGTGTGTATTTGTTATTAAAATTGATCTGACAGCTTCTCAAATAAACTGAGATTTCACACACAGCATGTTGCCAGCATATTCCCCAGACTTCACCGCTTAAGTGTCCAACAGAGTCCACCTGTTCTGAACCATGCAGGATATCTCAAGTCTCAAAAAGAAGTCATATTGAATGCAAACACACATAAATATTGACTTGCAGATGCTGTTTACATAGCATTAGAGGATGATTGATTTCATCGATAAACAGATTGTGATCTGTGATCCCCCCATGGAAGCTAAATGGTGTAGTTTCCTCGAACAGAAGTCTTTTTTTGCAAAGCTAAAGATGGATTGCAATTCTTCGCTGCAAATCACATTCAATCTAGGACTGATGTCATAGAAATGATAAAAATGCAACGTTGATTTAATAATCAAATCAGTGCATTAGCCCTGTCAAAATGAAATATAGGCTTAAATTGCAGGGGATCAAAAGGGTTTGAAATTGACTTCTTTATTGTTAATGTAATCATTTGTCTTGTCTTTCCGTTTTCATTGACATATGTGATGATTGTTAACTGGTTATGTGTTTTTAAGTGTCCCCTTTGGGTTGTTTTGCTCAGTCCAGCAGCTGAAATCATTTTTAGGTTGCAAACAAATAAAAGGAATTACCCCTTATCCCCCTAAAACAATCAGTATCTCTTACATATACAGTGTACTACACTGTTCAATATCCAGCAGAATGATGAACCTTCAGGGAATATATAGTTTATCACAAGAATGTAAGTTTGTGATTGACCCTGTCTTTTGATGTGTTTTTTAAAATCTTCAAAGCAGTAGTGTTTGGCAAAGGATTTGGAATCAGTTGTGTTGAATCTTTTCTTCTGTGTGTGATTCTTTCTTCTCAGACGGCGTCCTGGACCTCTCCACCAAGAAGACCGAAAGCGCAGGCAGCCACAAAACCGGCTTCCCCCCTGCGCCTGGGGTCAAAGGGTAAGACACCAGGACTAGTTCAACTGGCCTCTGTTAGCAGAGCAGTGCAGTCATGTGCCCAAAACAACAATGGAGAGGTTAAAACAGTCACTGCTATTGTGTTTCTGCAGCAACCAGAAATCTCTCATCAGTTGAACAATATGTTGTGTAGACGATCAGACTGAGGTGATGATGCTTTGGTCTGATTCTTGTTTAGTATGTTTTCTCGATGCAAAACCACAATCCAGTTTTTCTTCTTTGCCAACAAAATTGATTTCACAAACAAATGACCATCATCTTAGGCAGATTTCAATCTTATATGCCTTTTTCTTGTGCAACACAGGATTTGTTCTACCATTTAAACTAAACTAAACTAAATCTCCTAAAAGTAGATAAATGAAAGTGACTGAGATAGCTCCATGCTACCAAAACAAAGGTACCGTACAACCTAAAGTCCTCTTGGCAGATTACACAAATTGCAAAGATGATATAAGCAAACAAAGAATCTCACTCGTGAACAATAAAATCACACGCTTACAACAAAATCGTGTTCAGATAATGAATATTTGGATAAGATTGTGACTATAACACTTAACTTTGTCAGACATTTATCATGCAGAATCAAAAGAATTTCTCAGAAAGCAGTCCCTTCATGTCTTGCTCACAGCATGTAGGCAAAGCCCAACGTTGCCGATGTATTGTTTTTAAGTATCTAAAATACGTTATGGAATCATTTTTAGCACAGTGGATGAGCAACATCAAATTCTTGTTAGCTTCAGCGAAGAACAAGATATATATTTCCTAAATTTATTTATTTCCTTCTCTGTGCCTATTATTGTGCCACTATTCTGTTTTAGCACTAAACTGTAAATAAGGAATATCTGACTATTTTAATCTTACTTCTCTGGTCCCTGAATCATGTCTCCCTACACCATGTTGCTGCAGTGAATGGCTTCTTCTGCTTTGTTAGGATGAGCGGCGCATGAAATGATGTCTCTGTTGCTGCGTTGCCTTCTTCGTCAGCTCATCCATCTTTTCAGTTTGTAGCATTCAGAACACAGGCAAAACTTGCCATGGACTTGAATGTGACACTCCATGTCGGGTCTTTTGTCAAAAGTTTGGAACTGTGAAGGACCATGTCAATCAAATATTTTCCGCTTTAAGTGGAGAGCTGTTAACACTTTAAAGGTCAACAGGTTGTGCTGTGACTTGACCATGTTGACTTTTAGAGCTCGGGCTGAGTGAACTCTTACTTCTAAATAGCTGCAGGGTCCATTATTTCTTGATAATGGACACCTACTGGGTAGTTCCAGTGAAGCAATCACTGGAACTACACCAGTGCAGATGCCTTTCTTTTATTTTATTTTTTCAAAATAATGTATTGGTCAGGCTAGATACTATAGCTACTATCTTTCTTCATTTAAGGTCAATCATATCTTATGTGAACATTACCGTTGGAGAACACCATGTAAGGGAAATAATATTTTCAAGTATTCAACTCCATTCATTCCTAAAAAAGGGACAATTGCCTGAGTATGATCCATTATGTATTCTCTTATGTAACTAAAAATAACTACTTACTGTATGTAGCAGTCATCACCATAAGCAAGCACAATGTCAATGTGAAGAGTGAGTGAGTGAGAACTGGAACATCTGATTATGGATGCAAGATGGTGCAACTCCTATTTACCTGTGTGCATGCTGTTTTTGCTCTTAATTGGAACACCAACAACTGAACCATAGGCTGCGCTCACACTGCTGGCAAAAGTGACCTAGATCAGATTCTTTTGCTCTCATGTGATTCAGATCTGATATTCGTATGACTATGTGATCATCACAAGTCACATAAAATCTGATCTTTTTGAATCAGATCTGGGCTCTTTTCAGTTGTGGAGCCAAATCAGATACACGTTCAATCTTTTCAAACATGAACCTCAGTCCGAACGGTGAGGTCAGAATGCATGACACTTTGACGTCACTTGCTGGCAGCACTGGAGGGGAGAGGGGGGCTTTCATGACAAACAAGATAATTCAACAGTCCCAGGCTTTCATGATCATGGACATGTCTGCTGTCAACAGATCATCATATCGTACAAACCCAGAGCAAACTGTAAAATGAAAAAAAAAAAAAAGATGTTAAACACATAATCCAAAATTAAAAACACAACTGCAGCCATGAATGAAGAAAGAACTGGGAGAAAACTGTGAATGCAGAACAGGCTCTGAATGCACAAATTAAGGCTAAAAATAAATCACTTATTGCACAATACATACTGAATATAATATTCTCCACTTCTCTCTTTAGCATATGGCATCTCTGAATGTTAAAGATGTAATATCGACGGTACACAAGGCGGAATGTGGCTTATAAAAATGAATATGAAAACATACTTGAAAGTAGCAGGTATGCTTAATTGGATATCTTGTACATACAAAAAAGTAAAAACAACTTCAGTGCTTTTTTCATTCTATGTTGTGGGATGAAACTGCATTATTAAGTTATTTCACCATCATATATTTCAAATGAAAAAACAATAAGAGGAAACACAGCTCCCCTCTAACAATCAGCTCACAGCGCTCCATTAGCAGCGCTGATTGGACAGCCAACGGAGTTTCATACAGTTTGGTTTCTTCTTTTTAACATTATAGCTTCTCCCGAACATTACCTGCTGCAGAGCAGGTTATATGTTAAGCATAAGTAACCATGGTGATCTACTCAGGTAAGAAGTGAACCGACTGGATAGTAGGATTCTGAGAGAACAGAGTTAACCCTGAAGTTACCTCAATAACTGTAAAGGATGTCACTTTGTTCATCTGCAGGGGATCGTAGATCGCCAGTTCTGCCTGTTTTGAAATATTCTCTCTTCACACCAGGCCGAGTGTGAAGTCTTGAAAGTTATTGTTCATATGTGTCTGTTCAGGAACATAACCAGTCCATACAGGATCTGATACAGGGCACATTTTCAAAAGTAATGAAAACAGCCAAACTAAAATATCAGATCTTAGTAAAAAAAAAAAGAAAAACAAGTGAGCGGCTTGCAGTGTGAACCAAGTCTTGGATTGTTCAACTAGTTGTTGCTGTAGCTCCTCAAAAAATATATACAAGATGAAAGATGATGAAATAAAAATTAAAAATGACAAAACCTGTGTAATATCAGTTTTGTTGTTTGTTGATGAAATAAGGTATCGAGACTCAGAAATCTCAGATTCCCACAGTGCATGAATGCATCACAGCACCAACAACTAACAATCAATTCTCAGTACACACCGCTTGTCAGCTCACACGAGACTTTAAGTCAGATATGGTTAGTGGACAAGAGCATGCCGAAGCACCAGAAACATTTTCATAAAAGATGCATGAAGCAAAGAAAGTGAACAGTGAATCTGTTGCTTTGCAGCACCACAGGGCCCCTTTAACCACCAAACAGAAGGACAATTTGAGAGCATGGGGTCAACTTCTGCTCAGGCATTATTGAACAAGCAATATGTGTCTCCAATTCAGAGTGTAGTTTGATGCTGAAATGACACAAGAACCATCACATACAGTATATTCTTGTTTTTTAAGCTCACAGCCCAGCCTTTCATAAAACATATACACTTTAAATATAACTGTTGTAACAGGGATTAAAGCAGAAAATCAAAATGGACTGAAACTTATCAACATATAAATTCCCTCTTTATTGTAGAAGGTCAGATTGCTTTAGTATAGTAGCATAGAAGCTAGCTAACTATTTAGAAAGAAACGGTTTGACACCACAGTGCAGAAAGCAGGGTGTAAAGAACACACTAGTATGATTTAGTGCCTTAGTGCCATTAAGGCTAAAGAAAGAGAAAAGGATGTACTTTTTCCCCACTAGCATACACAATGGTGACGGGAAGAGGTGGGGAGAGACGGCAGGATGGGCCGCTACTCCCACCAATTAGGACCGACATGATTGACATGACACTGATGTCCACAACAGTACCATGTCCAAAAAGGTGTAGTGTACAGTGTAGTGCAACAGAAATGAACTTACTGGTGCTGATTTTAACATAAGGGTGGCTTCAATCAAGTGTATTGTATTAAGCCTTTTGGAGAGTTTTGAGATAAGATTTTTAGGTGTAAAAAATACCTTGTTTTGATGAACAAATAAATAAGTAACAGTGGAAGAAATAGACCCTAAAAGCAGCCTAATGGTTTTATGGTATATGGTATGTGTGTATGTGGAATCTTTTTTGCTCCTTGTTTTGTCCTTTCACAATCAAATCTCTGTTAAAAGTAAAAGGAATGTCCCCACAACAAGCAGGTATTATATTAGTCAACGTGATATTTGGCATTCTATTTATTGGGGGGGATTTAAAGGTTGTTATGTTGAGGAGAAATCTGAGTACAAGAGTGTCAAGAACAGCTTAGGCCGAGCAAATCCAAGAACAAGCAGGGACCTTTTGATTGCAAGCACAGGGTTTTGTGGGAAAGCTTTACAAAAAGTGAAATCAGGAAGTAATGCTTTTAAACTTAATATATCCTATAAGATAAAGATTGGAAAGAATACTGTATGAGTATTATATTTGAATATTCTCTATTTTCATATTCAGTTGCATGGATTTCTATCACTCCAGCAGAATGCTTATCACTAGTTGCAGCAAGGTCAGAAAAGCCTGCTGGCGTTGACTTGAGTAAAATCGACTTTGTGGGAGCAGCGAAGCTAAGCTCCACAGGTCTTGAAAGAGCGATGCACTTAATGTCTCCATACATTTTGGGGGCACACACTTCGATCCTCTCCAATGCCGTTTGCAAGAAAGTCCTGCCAACGCCTCCCACCTTGCCTTCACACTTACTAGTCCAATCCAATCGATCAATTCTTGAGCTCCAATGCATCCTGTGGCATGCGGCAAATACTTGTGTACAGGTATTTTTAATTTAGACCCTCCTAAGTTCAACCCCACCAATCCCATTCTTTAACTGTTTTTCTCTATTCCTTCTGCTTATCAGTGCATTTATTGACAATCCTGTGTTGCATCCCGATCATTTATTGATGAACATGTACTCTGCCTTGAAGTCATGTTTCAATCAGTACACATCATACTTGGCTCTTCCATCAAGAGGGATACCAATCGACGCTAATCGTGGTTGCCTTTTTCAGAAAGACTTTTGACCTGTTGGTCACAAATGGATTTACAAAGGCTCAATACACCTAGAAGCCCCAAATGCAGGATTGCGGCGAGGCTGCGTTTGTGGGAGATGTGGGCATAGAAACCTGCTACTACCATGTAGGAAGGATTGCTTTGAACCGACAGTGAAAACATCTTCAAATTCTTGCTGAAATGAGATTTGAGGAACGTTTCATTGACATTGCAGTTATGATTTTAAACAGCCTCCACATGAGAAGATCTTCCTGGTGAAAGCTACTGTTGCCTACATACAAAGCTACCAAACAAAGCCAGATTTATAACATTATTTATGGAATGAAACAATCTTCGATCTTCCTGGTTCAATTTTATTCTGCTGAACTTGCCACATTTATTAGCACACACATTTCAGGTAGGCTGCCATGAGGGATTATTGTCCAAGGGAAAAGGGTTGGGAACCAATATATTTTATATTTGAGGAAAGCCTCGAGAGAATATTTTCAATGACAAGCTCAAATGTTAACTATGACTAAAGGATAAACTGATTGGATTTTTGTGTGCAAAGGCCATGGTCAAGATCTATCTTTGTCTTGTGTATATATCTCAGCTTGGCTCAAGGGAATACTGTTAAATCTAGCGTTATTTTTGTATCTGTCCAAAAGATGTAAAGCATGTGCAATCAATTAGTGGACAATCTCCCCTCACTCTACCATTAGCATCCTTGTTGGTTCTGCTGTAGTGGTAATTTCTACTGAAAATTGCATTATCTGCTTGGAAACCCAGAAAGAGAGAGAAATATGTTCTCTGGTAGTATCTTGTGCCAACTTCCCCTTTTACTGTTGACCTCCTTTTTTTAAGGTTTATTCATACATCCAAAAGAGTCCTGCTAACTACATTCATGCAAACAGACTCAACTGGCTGGCAGAGAAATACAACCCCAAGACATAAAATCAAGTTGGACTTGCCTGCTGACACCCTCACCAAGCGAACACCAAGCTGATAAAACTAAGCATGTTGAAGCCTTTTCTGTGATAGGGCTAAAAGAAAAATGAGATGCAGCACCTTAAGCCCCTAAGGATGAGACTGTGTCTCGCCATTATTTTAAAACTATTTTCAGTCCATGCTTCTTCAAAAAACCTCAGGGAAAAAAACTTGTATTAAGTTAGTGGGTTACCAGGTATAAATTTAGATGGACAAATTCATTTTTCAGAGTAGCTGAATACAGTTCTGTATTGAAATTACGTAGGGCTTTTAATGACTGCTTAAAATGAATTTGTTCAACTCAGTGTTTGCTGCAGGTTTAAAACTGCCCACCTTCATAAACTATTCTAGCCTCTAGAGCACACAAATGTTTATGGCTCACAGATCATACACCTAGATGCTGAATTAATCTGCAATTCTGTATTTATTTTCTCCTTTTATTCTCATAAATGTGTTCTCACATTGAATCATCAGATCTACAGTTACTGTCTGGTGCAGGATCCCTGATGACTGGATGCTTATTGTAACAGAACGCTCTATTAGTGTAGACTCCAAAGCCTCTCATTAACCCTGTATTGTTTGCAACAAGCCCTAGACCGCCCACTGCGGTAATCTGTCTTTAAGCCCCTGCTGAGAACTCCCCACATCGCACAGCTAGTCGCACAGTATCTCACTAGACTATGCCTTTCACTGGAGAGATACAGCAATTCCTTCAATTTTCTTCTACCCCATGCCATCCGATGTCTTGACAAGCTAGTTCCTGTTTTTATGAGCCTAAGGGAGCCGTTTTTAAAGAGCTTTTCTACTGTTGCAATAGTAACGTAGTAGTAGGAACATTAGCTGTAGATGTTAGAGTGGAGGCGCTTTGCATATAACGGTATGTCTACACAGCAGATGGTTTTCATAAATTTGAACCACCGAAATGTGAAGGGCTTGCAGTAAAGACATGCTATATGTTCTAATGAAAACTGAGGTAATTTATTTTTGGAAAATCTTTGAAAACAAGACACAAATTTTAGAGTGTGGCATTGTCTGCTTTCAAGCCATCCTGAGAGGTTCTTTGTACTTTGATATTCTTAGATGTGAACATTTAAATCCAGAAGTAATCTTTTTTTTTTCCGTTATCTTTATATTCAAAGGCAGGCTGCACAGGGATGGGGTGGTAACCACTGTCACACAGCACGAAGGTACCTGGTTCAAACCCCGTCAGACAGGGCCTTTCTGTGTAGTTTGCATGTTTATCCCTCCGGGCACTCCGGCTTCCCCTCACAGTCCAAAGACATGCTCTTTAGGCTAAGTGGTGATTCTTAATTGTCTGTAGGTGTAGGTGTGGATGTGAATGTGAATCTGAGTCGATGTGTTTTTCTGTATGTCAGCCCTGTGTTTGACTGGGGATCAGTCCAGGGTGTACCCTGCCTCTCGCCCAATGGGATCAGCTGAGATCGAGTCAAGCTCCCTGTGAACCCGAGCGGAATAAGCAGTATAGATAATGGATGGCTGGATGCATATTCAAAGGCCTTATGAAAGGTCGAATGATCTAGTATCCCGAAATAAAAATGCCAATATTAAACAAATAATCATTCTTTTCAAACATAAACAGTTAGGCATCTGAAACAACATACAAACTGTAAGTCACAACACATTAAAAATGTCCTGTTAGAGCTATATTTTTTTAATGATAGACGGATTTCTTGTATTTACCATTTTTTTAATTAATTATTTACACTATTAATTTAATCAAGAATATTTTTTTCATGTATGCATTTTATAATATGGAATTTTGGAGATTAATGTTCTCGAAATAGTTGTTTAGAGTGTATTCTGAAATGCCTCAAATTTCACATATTGCATACAAATGCAGTGGATGGTTTTGTTTTATTCCTAAAGCTTAAATCTTTAGAACCTAAAGCTCCGGCTTGGTCTTGGGTCAACCAAACGTTTTGTGTGGTAACACTTCAATGAAATATGTTTGTCCTTTAAAGCTTCTCCTCCAACGTATTACTCTGTTATTTAGCAGACACAGCTGCTACACCTCCTACATTACTTTGCTTTAATTTGTATAATCTGTATGCCTACTATACCTTGCATCGTCACAATGTCAAATACTCAACAATGGATAAGGTTGAAGACAAGTTTGTCCATGATGTGTTGTCCGCATGTGTTTGTTTGAATTGTAAGTCTGCAACAGTTTCAATAGCATTAAAGGAATTTTGGATACAGATGACATTTCCGAATTTTCCAGGGTTTACCTAGCAGATCTATAAGAGCATCTATATATTTTTTTTTTGTGAATTCATGAGAAAACATTGTTTTAATCAAGTCACACAATACTCTAGTATTACATTTACCTAAGGGTATTTTTTGCAGATGGTTTTTATTGGTTTAGCAATGACATTACTACCACCCCTGTTTAAACACCAGATCATTTTTTTTTAACTTTATTTAAAAAGAATGAACTAGCAACAGGTCTTTTCAAAAAGTACCCCAGTTTCTATAGATATATTCTACTAATTCACTTTCAAATGCATTAATTCATGTAATGCAACCCATTTTAGGTAATAATAATTTTGTTGCTTTTTCCATAATATGTCAGATGGTATTGGTATAGAGACCCTATGAAACAAGTTACATTTTCAGCAACACATTTGAGACTATTATCATAAGTAACAAAATGTAGTTTGCATCACACCCTATTCCAAAGAATCAATTTGAGATCTGTGACACTGGTCCTAATTTTGCTCTTTTTTTCCATCCAGACGTTCTCTCAAAGTGGAACATACACTACCAGAGGTGGATGAGGAGGATGGTGTGCTGCAGAGAAGCTTTCAGGATGGACGGAGGGCCAACTACATCAACTCTAACTCCTTCAAGCCCCCATTGGCCCGCTCCCTGCGTATCAAGGAAGAGCTCCTTAGCCAGAAGCACCGCCTACTGAGCCAGCCTGCTGCTCTTTCATTGGCTAATCTAGAGTCTGCTGGCTTGCTCAATCATGTGCAGTCCCAGTCCTTGCTTGGCCAGAAGGGTTCTTCCTCTTTCTGGGGAAGCAAGGCCCACCTTGAAAGTCTGTTGAAACTGAAGCAAGCCAGTGGAGCTCTAAGCGGGGCACTCAGTGACCTCAAAGACCTGCCTACATTCCTGGAGAATCACCACCACGGAGCCTTCTCTTACAAGAGTTCCCTCCATCATCATCTTCACAATCAGGTCTCCAAGGCCCATCACCACCACAATGACGGGAAGAGAGACCAGGGCCACTCACCTCCTGTTGACCTAAAGATCCCCCAAGTTCGAGGCATGGATCTCTCCTGGGACTCCCATGCCTCCGAGTTGTATGGCTATGGTGCCATTGGGGTTGGGGGTGGTTGCCATGGGGAGAACACCCTGAGCCGGAAGCTGAGAGCCATCCTGCCAAAGCAAAACCGCCGGGGAGGAAGCCTTGGAAGCCTGTTGGATGGGGCTGACTACTGGAGCACTGATTTGGACCACTCTGGTTCTGGGCCAGCATATTCCACCTCTGATGTTGAAGGCGACCCAAACTCCAAGCAACCAAGGAAGAAAAGGGGCCGCTATCGCCAGTACAACAGCGAGATCCTGGAGGAGGCCATAGCAGTTGTGATGGGTGGAAAGATGAGTGTGTCCAAGGCTCAGAACATGTATGGGATCCCACACAGCACCCTGGAATATAAGGTCAAGGAGCGCATGGGAACCCTGAAGAACCCCCCAAAGAAGAAGCTCAAGCTGATGATGAAAATGGAAGCAGGAGCCCAGGATTATCCTGCTGAGTCAGAGAACACACTCACCGCAACCCTAGGAGACGACAGCCAGCCACTGGCAGCTGCTGAGCTCAAGGACAATGTAAAAGAAGAAATTGATGACAATTTCAACCCAATCGACTAAACGACTTACACATGAAAAACCTCAGTCTAATGACTAAAGTAATTTGAAAAACGGATGTGGCTTTATTTGTGCCAATTTCCTTTGCAGTATCTGGGTGAGCACAAATGCAGGGATAATATAAGGAGGAATCTTAAAACAAACTGGAGATAACAAAAAAGGATGATTTTTAACAAGTGTTGCTCTAGCAACAATGTATAAGCATTTGCTTAGCCTTTGTGTCCAGGGGCTTAACAAAAACAGCTACAGACATAAGTAAATGACAATTGATTAAATTTCCATTAGCATGCTGATAATCCCCTGCCCAAATACAATCCCCATCTTTTGTGAACTCGATACACTGAACCATTGCTGCTTATAAATGCAGTATGTGCTTTGGACCATTCCAATTCGGGGAAAATGAGGGGAGGTTTAAGATTAAGTCCTTGAAAAAAATGACAAATTTTTCCCTTTACTTCTCCCTTCTCCTATGGAGCACTAGCTGAAAATTGGTAAGTGAATTGTCTATTACATTTGACTCCAATTGTAAGGCTTAATCATACTATTGATATTTCTTACCAGGGTTGTGAATCAAAACCCATACTCTTATTGCCAGGTAGCCATGACGCATTAACTGCAAACCTTTTTTCCCTCCTTAAAATGTTCTGCTTATCTCTGTGCGGACGAAACAACATTAACCTGTCCTTTTTGAATGAGAAAAGACACACAAAAGTCATTCAGGGATGCATGTTTGTGAGTTTCGTGGACACTACTGACTTCTATAATCAACAACTTCTCCTCAATCTTTTAATTTGATTTATTTTGCTTTCTTTTGCACTACACTCTGGGTCTGGCGCTTACAGACCAGGTTACCTCGGCATTGTTGCCCTTGCATCATGCACTTATTATGGTCTGTCTCTGAAGCCCAGTCGCATCCTCGCAATGGGTTAGAGGATGCACATCGCCTGCATACGTTGATCCATAATCACGTCCCGCAGAGCTCCAAAACCCTCTTTTTTCCAAGGGAGAAGTTAAGGGGAAATCTGATTGTGGATCAGCTGTATAGCGAAATGCTACCTCATGGACCTACATCAGTCGCTCACTGCTGATCCTGGAATGCTGGAGCTGCCTTCGGTTCCACAACAAATGGCGACTGAAGTGAACTCATCCCCTCATGGAGATCTTATTGGATGGAGGCTTTCTAGGATCAGATTGTGAAACTCAGCTGCTATCCAGTTGATCATCAAGCTACTATACAAAGCTTTAGCTAGCCTTAGCTAAAACGTTTTAGCTAGTCTTAGCTTACAGCAACATATTTCTGATGTTTTTTTTTTCTTCTTTTCTAATCAAACTAAGCAGAAGCGGCTTCACTAATGAATTTTTAAAGAAAGTCTTTTCCCTCAAACTTTACAGTTTTAAAGGCAGTTTATTAAAACAATGTGCATTTATACGTTATATATTAACGGGTGTTCATTTTGGGGATGGTGGGTGGGCAATATGCAGTGGGAAGGGGTAGTTGATTAAGGTGAGGGAAAGGCAGATTTAATATATTATAAATTATTGTGACTGATGACGTTAAAGCTAATCTGTGATTCTGGATGACTTCTTTCTCCCCATTTTAAACTCAGGGTAACTGAGACAGATGATGTGGGTTTCAAATATGTTCATTTTCTGTTGGACCTATAGACAGACAGGATGACCCTCCCTAATGCTATGTCTGCAAGAGCAGTCATGTGAGCAAATATAGCAGCACCATCGCAGACAGACCTGTTGATGAATCATGAAAGAGAACAGAAAATGCTGATGTTGGGTTAGGAGCTAGAGCTTGTGGCGCTAAACTTCGAAAATAGCACTTTCAAAAATGTGAGAAAAAAACGAGAGAAAGAAGGCTGTTTGAGGTTATGCATGTCGTGTAGCTTTTCTCTGGGGGGTAATGGAGCAGGGCAGAGAGATGGAAGAAAAAAAGCTTTAGTATGAAGACTTCCGGAAAGCTGCATCTCGGTCCCATATCCCCCCCCCCCCCTTGACTACCAGAATAGAAAAAAGATTGACAGCTGGAACAACTAAAGTTTAGTTTAGCATTGTCTCATTGTTTCCCCTACCATCGCCAAAGTACCAGGGATAGAAAAACAAACATCATGTTTTACCTAGAATCCCTGGGAGGACCACATGTGGAAAGAAAAGAAATTGCTCTTTTGGTATTTTCCATCAGGAAAAATTGGTTGTCATGTCTTTGTTTCTTTTATTGCTCCGTGGTAAATGTTGCTTCTCGCTCCTGACACTGCCTGGTGCTCACCCAGTCTTTGAGATTTCTAAGATGAGAACTGTACTTCTGTTCAAATGAAATTATGAATATCCACTCCTTTTGAATTGTATTGTAAATGTATTTATTTGTTTTTTTTCTTTGATTATTCTCTTAAAATGGCATGCACCACTTTTTTTGGCTGATTTTGGGGGTCAGGCCATTGAATAGGCTATTCTATGTTGAGAGGATTTAACACAATTCCTCCTGAGCCTGAGATTTTCAAACTAATACAAAGTTATGGATGAATCATGATCTAATTATAATTAGAACAATGTACTACCTGTGGCATACAATCTTGTTTTTTCCATATTTGGTTATTGATTATCCCCTTAAGCTTTGTAGCTTCTTAAGCAGATAAGCATGTCCAATTAAAAAAAGAAGCTTTAGGAAAGACCTCTGGATCATCAGTATCTCTGAGGCTCATCATGCATGAAATGCGTCCAACACTTTGACAATGCCGAGCATTTGAAGTGTCTAAAAGGATGTGGTGCACCTCAAGTTGGACCCAGCGAAGGACAATGCACTGATCTGATAGTTAAAACAGGATCATAGTATTAATGGCAAAGCACTTCTTGTAACCATGCTTTTGATAAATGGCATGATAGCTACTTAGTTAGCCAGCAATGAATAAAGTCTGAAAAATGTAACTGTGTGCCCCTCCCCCCCCCCAAAAAAAAGAACTCAACAAAGTCCTGGCCCTCTGCCTGTTTAATGTAAAGCATGAATTTGTGATTCGAACAATTTAGATTTGGCATAGAAATAGAATAATTGGCACTTAATGCAAAAGTTTGCATGAACTCCAACAGCACTTAAGATTGAATTCCCCTAAGAGGGGTGATTCTTTGAGGCCAAATTCTCTGTCTAAATTTATACTAATCTATACGTAATTTCTTACCCTTCAAGAAATTATTGACTCTCATAGTACATTTATTGATTGTTTAAACTTGCCATTGCTTTTCAAAACCACTAATGTAACATTATAAAAGATTCCCATTTTCAGCCTGGTCTTATCTACTGAGGTGCATGCCATTTAAGGTATATTTATTTCATTTCATTTGATATTTCTTGGGTTTTTTGATTGTTTATAGTCATGTGGTTAACGGTTCCCCCTGTCCAAAAAAGTCCTCCTTCTTGCAACTGAGTCTCACTGCTGTTTTAAAGAAACCTCATACTATATTATATACTTTAGAGAACAGTATATCTATTCTCTATTTATCTATTTATATACATATATATTAACAGATACTCACATCATGAATGTAGTGAACTGACATGAATATCTCAAACTTACATAACCATTACAGTGATCCTCCAAAAGAGGGCATTGTCAGTTTCTTTATGACAGACTGTTGTTCTTATTCTTTAGCTTTCAGTTTTGACTTTACGCTGCTTGCATTGAAAATAGCCGTTTTCTGACGCGGGCGTGCGACAGTAGCCTTCAGTACTGTAAATGTCTCAGGATCGAGCCAACGGGATGGGCAGCAATATTTGTCAGTCGGAAAATGGCACAGACTTAACTACCTGTACTAGATGTACTTATATATACAGAATATAAACTATATGTCAACTTGGTCAGCCGGGACCAAGTTCTATACCTCAATCTCAGAATAATGACTCCTTTCCGTGCCTCGTACTTTTATGTAGACCTTACCTGGGAGCCTGGCGAAGGGATAACTGATACTCTGGGAAATATAGTGTGCTCCGCTGTATCTTTTATTATCTGTTCATATTTTTCTTTGTTAAACCTCCCTTTTGTGAAGGGCGGAGGGAGACGCTTCAAGTGTCTGACTGACCAATATTTGCAACCCTACCTCTTTTCAGGTATTTTTGCGCAACAACAAAACCTTATAGAAGTATATATGAGCAACAGATTGAGAAAAAGAAAGACCTGCAGGGATTATACAGCTATTCCTGTACTTAGCACTGAAAGAGGTTGGTGTGGGAGGGCTACCAACCTCTCATTTCTTTCTCTAAAAGTCAAAACATTTTTGGATTCACTCGTCTGGTTTCACCCTGGAGGCGATCAGTCAGGTCAGTCACACCCTGGTCTGAGAACAAGGTATTTTTTGTTCACTGAGGTGTGTACAATTGTGTGTTTTAAGGTGCAACAAAACTCCAGGTTGAAACCTGACGGGGGGATTTTTTTTTTTTTTTTTCCTGCCTTGTTTATTTCTCAAACTTAGAGGAATCAGAGACCTAGAGGGGAGATTGGGGGACAGGTGGACAAGTTAACCTTTCTTTATCTGCTGTCTTGTAAAAGAAAAATATCCTATCCAAAATCTTTTACATTGCATTCCAAAAAACACCCCACACACAGGAAAATGTACCTTTATATGATGAAATTGAAAAATTTATATACTTATGATATATATGTATTTATTTTACTGTTTTTGCATCTTCAGGTAAACCAATCTATTTCTCGTTTGCTTTTTAGGTTGGTATCTTATTTATTTTTTATTTCTTCTGAGTGACAGACTGTCAAAAAACATTGTAAAAATGATGAAAAAAATGTCTAACAGCAACTACTGTAACCTCACTGAGTAGGCGCCACATGATGTGCCATTTACTTTCATGATGGTGTGATGCTATGGGCTACCAGGCAAGAACGACCCAACAATGTATATGATTGCCATGCTCCTCTCTGCGCAGAGGCTTCTTCTGTTTCTTTCTGTGTCACGCTGCGTATCTGGTTGTCATTTTTACCTCAGGTCTGACCACTTCAAAGCAGCTGATTGTACACTAGAAACACAGACACACACACACACATACACACACAAACACACAAGGAAGAATCAGGATTTTTAGTACAGCTCGTTTGCAGTTTTTAAATGTAACCGACGGAAGCAGTTTTTGAATAATTGTTGTTTCTTGTTCTTGTTGTTGTTCGTACTGTTGTTATTCTGATGACACCTTCTTTCCCTTTCTTTGTTTTCTTATAAAGGAAAAGAGAAATTCTTAAAATGCCAGAAGCCAAGTTCATATGAATACAAAGCTGTATTATCTCTAGCACATACAGCCGTGGAAGAGCAGAACGCACACGTACACATAAATAGAGACATGACGCACCTACAGCAACAAACTCTCTCTCTCTCTCTCTCTCTCTCTCTCTCGCTCTCTCCTCATCAGGTAGCCACACTTTGTGTGGGCGGGTTATATGTATAATTATGAAGCTGGGAGTCTGTAGCTTCTCTTTTAGAAGCAGGTGGGTGTGTTTTGTCCACAGCCTGCAGAACATCAGCCCCACTGGCTGATTTTGATCTGGCACACTGGGACTCTGCAGGCAATGCCTCTGTGAAAATCACTTTGTCTTGTTTCTTGCTTTCAACAAAGACCGTTTTTCTTCCTCTTTTTTTTATATCGGCCTAACAATTGTTTTGTTAAAGGACAAATCCTCCCCTCAGTTGTTCTGTGATGTTCTTAGCATTCCAGCGGTTGTTTTTTTTTTTCATCTTCCTCTCTAGTTGCCTGGTCTATCATAAATTGGATTTTAAAAACAAAACAAAACTACAAGCTAAGGAAAGAAATGATGGAACACAGATTTGCTGTTTCTATAGTCAGGATGCTAAATCCATGTCTGAGAAACAACCTGGTGTGTTTTGGATGGATTTCTCTTTTAACGTGTTACAATTGTACTTGTGTGTTGTAAGCCTTGCCATGATGTCTTATTTGTTTTTCTTTATATCTTTCAGACATTTGTCAAAGAGACGCTAACAGATCTGTTGAAATGTGCATCTCCTCTGTTATGGAGTGTGATGCCCGGAGTTGTAAATGTCAAGGTATCTGAGAAGACATGTCAAGCTCAGTGGCTTAGTAGCAGTCTGGCTTCGAAAGCAAAGTTGAATACTGGTCTTAAAGGCCAGACACACCTCTGGAACAATGCTGATCTGCTGACACAACAGGCACTGAAACTGCTTTTGGTTATAATTACCCTAAAGAGAAATTTGGCTGGGGTTTTAACTTAATCCTTGCTCTGTACATAGCTGACACTCCATCCAGAGCACTGGTCAGTCTCAACTTGCTGTAAGTGAAAGACTAGCTTATCTAGACAACATAACATCTTTTTAAAACATGGCATGCTTGTATTGGGAAATCACCACACGTAATTACAGCCCTGTTGAGACATTTTTCATAGCTTTTGATTTTCAAGCTATGATTAGGGCTCTTAAATCTACAACAAGAACCATGCTTAACCTGTTTACTCACATTCAATCTGACTTGCCACCAAGAATAATTGATTATATATTTGTTATTCTTCAATCAGTGGAATCAAGAGTGCCTTTGAAGACTCTAATCACGTTCTCAAATCTAATCGTTCAGGGTTGGTTTCTTAATCGCATATAACCGCCTGAGTGTAATCACAGAGCGGCTACTTCAAGAACAACATACTTGTGTCAAAGCAAAATGTCATGTGAGATTCAGGTCAAATTTGTCGGCTTAAATTCCCAGCCCCCCGTGATTATGTTTCACTGCGAAAAAAGAATCACAGGCAGACATTTTCTCACATTGTTTGCTCTTGCCTCTGATGAGACCATGTTGTTGGCGTACGTCACACCCTCCGCCTCGTCAGAAAACATTTTGCAGATGGTAGAAAGACAGATCGTCAGTCAGACATTGCCATCTGAGGAGGTGGATGGGAGAGCGAGGATTAAATCTAAGTGAAGCACAGAATAATAAAGACTGCTGAAGGTCAGCATCCCCATCCCCACTGCACAGTTAAACAACAGGCTTTTAATGGAATGATGCTGAAATTCACCTTGCAAACGAACACTACCTCGGCACATAGCTTTTATGATTTAAACGTACTGTGGTTGATCTGAAACTCCACTTAGAGAAAGAAAAAGGGATTATTAGCGACATAATTTCAGACCTGATGTTGAAGGTTGAAAATACATTTTCAGAAAATAAAAGCATGAGCTCTGTAAAGTAAATCTTGTGCATTTCATCAGGTGCCCTTGTGTGTTGCCATGACAATCTTGCAGCATTGTTCCCATGTGGTGTTTTGTCTGGCCCTTTAAAGCCACCTCCATGGACCAGATGGTCTCTGATGCTCTGAAGCCAGATCTAGCTCAGCTAACACTGCTTGTTCTCCTGCTTATGCACACAATAATATGGATTTTGGTTCAAAACCAGAAAATTTAGCTGATTGCATCTCATTGCAAAAAAAAATCCACTCGTAGACTCCAGATGCCGCCTTGAGTGTCAATTCCTCAGGCTTTGTTGTGAGCATTTTCAAAGGAATTATGTTCAAAAGCAGGCAATTTTCCAATGTCTTTGTCCAACACTGGCAAACAAATATCTACCACAAAATGTCTCTTATTCTCTTCTCATATTATTTCCCTTCTTTTTACTTCCAGCTGATGTAAAGTGTTTATCCTTTTCTTTGCTTGTTTCTGAGATTTCTCTGCTGCTTCTGCTACCTCATTCTGCCACAAGGACTTGACAGTTTCAAAAAGTTGTTGGGAAAACTAAAGCATTATTGGGCCTTATAAGTTCTGAATGGTTCTAATGGAAGTTTAATGAAGTGAAGAGAACCCATTGATTGTCTGCCGACCATTTCGGTTTCCCGTTTTGTGCTTCTCTCTCAGAAATGTGTCAGATCTTGATTGTTCTGTCACTCAAAAGTGTGAAGTTTCTGGAGATGCATCGTGATTGCTGATGCACTGCTTAAAGTGGCCGGGTGGGGCCACAAATCATCTTCCACACATCTGTAAACACTGTTGGATTTTATTGTCACTTTCTTTGATGAAAAGTCGTAAACCCCTTTCCTTCACTTTCGCCCCCTAACTATTTGTCATCCTCACAGCAACCATGGGTACTGGGGCGTGAACGCTGTGGGGCTGACAGGCCCTTGTTTATCTCAGGAGAGATGGGGTGTTCTGCGGCAGACCCAGGTCTTTCACCTCTCATTAGACCTCCCTGCCATCTCTTGGGATTGTATACTTGACCCAAAGGCACCTGAACACGGTCTTCCCTCCAACTTTCCCCTTTTTTCTTTTATCTTTTCACAGAGGATTTGCCATGCTCTCCCCTGATGAGGAGCTTATAGATTTACATTTCTTAATACATGGCTTCAGGTTTTTCAGGGTGGTCATTATCCTCTTCAATACTGAGAACTGTTTCTAGAAAAAAACATAAACATATATGAAAATTTCATGAACCCGCTCCACAAGAGCTTCAATATTTCAAAGGTTTGGCCGTTAATGTTGTATGATGTCTCCGATCTCTTGTTTTGATGTTTTGAGGTAACTGGCTCGGACTTGAGTTTTATTTTCTGTGTAGAAAAGTGGAAAATATCAAGAAAAAAAAAAAAGGCTAATGACTGAGTTTGTGTTTTGTCATAATTTCTATCGCATTGCTGTGATCCTCTTGTAGCTTCTTTTTGCAGTCTTTCAGGTTTTGACATTTGAGCTTTTGAACTTAGGTGTCTTTGAAGACCAAGTACCTTTCTCTGTTACCTATCAGTTGTGAAGTCTACACTACATGCAGTTAACCACAAGAGCTGGAGTTGTTGTAGTCGAGGAGCAACACTGGCTAATGAGCAACGATTGATAGTCAAGTCAGACTGACCTATACTTGGTGAGCGGATATGGGAGTTCAGGCCTCAGAAAGCAGGCTTGGCAGTATAGAAGATTAAGTGTCATGTAGATTATTCCCTCTTCTAAAAGAGAAACTACTCAAACCTTTTTGAGGAACACCTTGGATTCATCTGGCTGAAGTTGACACTTGAAAGCCAGAACATCATCACTTAAAAGGATCTTAGAAAAGCCTTTTTGTTATTTTTAACTGAACTGTACATTGTTTTCAGCCAAATGCTTTTTCAGTGCTTTATAAACAGCAAGGATTGTAAATACTAATAACTCTTTTTGGAGGAGGCTCATGCAGAGCTTACTTTACTTTCCACCTTGTGGATCCTCTACAGATCTAAATAATAAGACTTGGACTGTTGCCTTCCTGGAAGTGCAAATTAAGGGAAACAGAGTGCTTTGACCTTAATCTGCTTTTAGGAAAGTAACGCTGAGTGTTTGTTCTTTCCGTCAGTCTTTGATAATGTTTTCCATCTTGGTGTTTCTTGGTGGCAAAAATGTAAAGAAGATGAAAAAAAAAAAACCTTACAACACAGAATACCTCAGAAAAGATATCCATGTAACCTTGACAACCTCCACATTATAGTCAGATCCTGTCCATGAAGACTCATCTCCTGGGCACTTTCATCTATTGTCCTTTGTATTTGTTTTTCCTTCTGCATTTTTTGCCATTTAGAGTGTAGTGCCCAGTGGAGGTTCCATAACTCTTTACACACGTTTGGTTTCACATCCTCATTTGTGTTCTGTCTTTTGACTGATCCCTCTTGGCCTGGAACCTTTCGCAGCCCACTTGGTGTTCTTCAGTTAAAGGCTCAAAGAAGGTGGTATCATACGTTAAGTTGACACGATATGCTGATTCATGGAACAGAGCGCCATAGAATAAACTGTCAGAACCAGTGCAAAAAGATGGGCTGTTCATTTTTAAAAGTGGGTTTGCTGAAAGGATGAAGGACAACATGTGGAACACTGGAAGCCACACATTTCCTGCGGTGTTCCTTTTTCATACGTCTTTAACTACTTATCTACTCTTTATCATTGTTAAAAACTGAATGTAAAAAAATAACGCAAACAACTAACCTCTAATTTAACTATACATATTTAAGAATAAGAAATATTCTATATGTGCACATAGATATACCTATACAAGGCCAACACAGACACAAACACAAATGCATATGTATATACAAATCTCTAATGTCATATACTTTTATCTTGAAAAGGAAGAGGATGAGCCTTTTCCATTAATGATTCAGGGAAACAGTACAGAAGTCAAGTGCAGTATGTAAGGTAAAATCACTCTCACTCTGTTGCTTTTGGTGTTCCATATTCTTACTCCGTTCTTGCTTGTTTTTTTCCTCATGATGTAGCATAGGGCAAAGCGGGCACGGACTTGAGCTTTTTGATAACAAGGAGTAATGGAACTAGGATTTAATGTAGTTGTAGTCTTTTCAAGTCGGATGCTGTGAGAAGAGGAAGGGGTGGGTGGGGAGGTTTTTTTTCTGAAGCGAACACTGTAAGGACAGTATATTTATGAAGATGACTCTAAAGTGAGAGTCACACTTTGGGGGGTCGGAAGTGTTTGCGGGGGGTGGGGATGTCTTCAAGACAGTTGTGTATATAGAACTGCTTTACCCATCAACCCTTACCTGTCTTTTTCACAGGCAAGATGGATCTGTATATTGAAGGCACTGCGAAGGAACTGTTTGTGTTTTTATGTCTCGAAGAGTAAAGACTGTTTTAAATGAAGGACATGGATTGGGGGGCTGAGGAACACAACAGACAGTGAAGTCGTAAGAAAACGCATCTTCCTCAAGCTTTTCTGAGCGCGACAGACGGTTTTGTGAACGTTGACCCTCAATATTTTTGCATGCTGATGTACATACCCATTTATCAGTCCTTTTGTTTGAAGAGGCTGGTTAATCCAAGTTTATTATTTTGGGGGGGATTTTGTCCACAGGACAAATTCTGATGTTTTTAAATATTAAATATTGCCCCTAAGAAAAAAATCCCTTTCCCCAACAGAAGCACCTAAGGTGTTTGTCACTGCAACAGCTTTCGTAGTGGTTTTTGGCTAAAGCTCTTTTGCAATCATTTTCCTTTTTTCCTTGTGTAAATTATCAAAAAGTGTGTATGAGTGTGAATCTGTGTGGACGTGTAAGAAACAATGTGTAAAGCTCTTTTTGATTTTCCTTTGATTTTTTCCTCAAGCAGTTTTTAACCTCAGAGCTGTTGGTAGGACCATTTCTGTCCTCTTACGGTAACCCAATGGAACACTGATCACAGTTGAAGAACTATCTTTGATCGTACACTGGCTGCCTGTAGGAAAAGATGCCAATCTCTGGGCACCTTACAGAGCCGAATTATATTACCCAGAAACCCTCAGGGACCTTCAGCTACACTGCTCTCATTCTTATTCAGGTACTTGATCTTCACTGAGGCCGAGCAGTGATCAACTATCGTTTATTCTCACAGGCCTGTTCCTATGAAGACTGAAAATTACCGCCAAAATCCTAAAATTTCAGAAGCAGTTTTCTTTAACTCCCAAAGTTGAGTTTTTCTGTGTTCTACTCATTGGATTACTTCTCTTTTTCTACCCTTTAGCTTTTTCTTGTATCTGTTATTTTCATCTATGGAGTTTTTTTTTAATATCTTATGAATGTCAATCTTCTTCTCAGTTAAGGACTGCTGTGTCTTTTTTTGCACTCTGTCCTCTCTATGACTTGCGTCTGGTGCAGTGGCTCCACCTCTGAGCCAAGCTGACGACGCAGCCATCTGGTATTGTGTGGCTACATAGCACCAACGTAACAATGACTTACACCAAGCTAACCTCTTAAAAACATTTCATACAAGTGCACAAAAGTGGACTGGCTTTTAGACAGTCGTTAAGCCTCCACAATTCGTATGTAGGTTTATAAAAACAAAGAAAGAATGCTGCAGTTTCAGTACGCATGTTCAGGTATCTGTCTAGTTTAAGTGCTAACTTGAGTTCTCTTCAGCTTAAGTTTATTCTTTTCGGGGGGTACACACAAAAGACGAATGTGACAGTTCTGCCTTCAGTTCTTCTTTAGCTTCAGGGAAAACTTAGTAAGCCTCACTCACCACAAGTGAAAAAAAAAAGAAAATGACCTCACTCTGTCTGATGTTGATGATCAAACCTCCAGATCTGTGGAGCTGTGAGGGACAAAGGCAAACAAACTGATGCAGAAAGTTACGTGTTTTTTGGTGAAATTGTTCTCATTTGCTCTTTGACCTTTTTAGACAGTTTCTCTTCTCTGGGTGAAACCTCTGCTGTATGTTGCTATGTCTTTGTATTGCTGCACACAGCTTGGTCAATGCCATGGGTTTTTGGGAGTCTCCTGCTGACTTCAGAAAGAACTAGTCATGCAAAAGCAGTTACTTGATGGCCTGGTCTGGATGACAGGAGTGTATTTTGAATTTAGCCTAAATTTTGTACCTCTTACAACAATCAAATCAGTGGTGTTTGGTGAGAACTATGTAAAGACTCTTAGAGGATAAGTTGTATTTCATGTTGTAAGAGCTCTTAAGATTACTTTCTACATTCCTGATGTTGCTTTGAGTAGAATTTCATTTTCTCGCGATAGAGATAGCTCTAATTGGTTTGGAAACGGCTTGTGATATTTGAGTAGACGCAGGAAGTGTTGTCCAGGGGTTTGGACTCTAACCTCCTCTTTTCTTTGGTCTTGATATTTGTCCTGCTGAGGTTTGTTAAGTTTGGTAATCTCACCTCGGTTCTTAACGGGTGGCTAGACGCCCCACTGCAGGGCCTGCTGGGCTTTTTTACGCGGAGTTTTGTTTTTGGGTTTGACGATATACCTCATTCCTCTAGTCCAGTGGGCCCTAAGGGGGCTCTGTGCCGATGCTCAGGACACCCAAGCCCCCTTTCACAATTTTGGTCCCACATGGACTGTACCTCTTGCAGACACACACATATGTACCTACACACAACACACAGGTTCTCCAAATACCCCAATGGACCTCATTTTTTCAATATCTACTGTTTACAGTTTGACAAAAAATTGTATAATTTAAAAAAATATTTTTCTCACATTGTAGTTTTATTTATGTACAATAATTTTTTTTGTTTTTCGTTCTTATTTTGTACCTTGTGAGTTGGACTTTTATTCTTCTAGGCTTATATTATCGATGTCCGTTTAAATGAGCACTTAACGATCACGATAATTGGTTTTAGTTTGATTGACTGCACTATTTTATTTTTCTCTTTCTCTCTCCCCGTTTTGAATGACAAATCTAATTTTCTGATCGGGCTAATGAAAAATAAATCGTCTCATAATGTCTGTGATTTTTGGGACAAAAAAAGATGAAAGATAATGATTTGATTTCCTACTGTTTGTTTTATAAAACTTCATTTTGCATTGAACGTCAGGCAACGCTGATTAGATCTGTCTTTGTGCATGTGTAAAATATTTTACTGGTTATGTTATATTCAATTTGGTAAAAAAGAAAAATTGCCATTTTTGCCACACATTTCAGCTGTAATGTTGTGTAAGGTAGTATTCACTGGATGCTAGAACCTTCTTTTCAAAACCACTATTCTTCTAATAAATTTTGTTGTGAAAAAAAAAAACCAGACTCTGTCCCAGTTGTGTTGATTCGTTTGCATGTGTTGATGTTGACGTAGAAGTTACAGTTGTGTAAACTTAGTCAAGCAAAAATAATTGTAGTCCTCCTTTGCTGACTGAATTTAGTATCGGCCAGGGCAAACAGTTGATCTCTGTCCCCGCTCCTCTCCAAGGTTGACAGCCTGGATAATCAAAGAACCTCAAAGGTTCAAAACCTTCCCTCTGAGGGAGAAACCAAGAAGTGAACAAAGAATCACTCATACTCACAGTTCCACTCATTACTAAAATCATCCACACCAAAACAGTAAACAAGTGGCTGTCCTGCACAGCTGGACAATATCGGGAAAAAAACTTGACATTAGGATATGTTTTATTTATATATATCATCATTATACCAGATCATTGCAGTGTTTTTTTAAACAAGTGTATTTTATATTATTTCGGTTTTTAACTAATTTACTGGTTTCATAAATAAAACCCTTCCTACTTTAATTCCACACGGTGCTCAGCCCTCTCACACACAGAAGAAGAGACAACAGGTGGGGCGACATGTTTCTTCATAAACTTTAGAAAAAAACTTCTGGTTTGGGATTGTGTCACATGTATGTCATCAACCATTCCTAACGCTGTTCAACGTCAGATTTTGTCAACATAAGCAGAGCAGCCCCCGTGATTGAACCTCCTAATTAAACAAAAGCTCAGCGTCATGAGCTGCCTGTGACTCACTTCACAGTGTACACTGCAGGTGTAGTGGCTAAAGTCAACAATGTGATCACAGCATTAATGATTACAGGGACACAAACTCCTTTGAACCAGGGTTGATCTGTTTTAGTCAAGCGCTAACCTCTGGTGTTAAAAAATAAAGCCTATGCAGAAGTGCAAAAAACTGCAGTTTCTGTTTGAGGCAAAAAAAAGTCCTAAACACACTCCACAAATATTTTCACAGCAGAAAGCAACATGTCTACAGTAAAAACCCCATTTATTCTATCATTTACATAGCCTTATATCAGGGTTGAAAGTTAACTTCAGTCGATCCAGATATCTATAGTAACAGCCACTCATTTCATTTTACCAGACACTTCAGTTTAACCAGCATCATTGTGTAACCATGTCGAGTTAAATAATCAAGGCTTAATGTGTTTGAGATAAAGGCTATTCCATGAAGGTAAAATATGTTAACTTTAAAAGAAAATACTGACCTGCTCTTTGTCTAGCTTAAAGAAACACATTATTTTAGTTCTTGAAGTTGATCTTTTTGAGTTGGTTAGAGTCTCTTATGCAGTTATGTCCTCAAACGCTGATTTATCTGAAACTGAACCTCGGCTGAAAGGCAAGATAATCATTGTTTTAATATTATTTAAGCTTATATGAGATGTTTTTATAAGTCATTTAGTTCAGTTCATTAGACCAGAGAAAGTCGTTTTAAAAGTCACTGTGCGTTCAGCTCTCAGAACATTGTGGCTTTCTCTCATGAATTTTTCATTTTCAGACATCTGAGTTGAGACTATTTGCTACTGCAAACAGCCCATTTCCCGGTACAACTGCTTCATAATAAAAGCATTTTAACGCCATAGTAAGCGGGGACTTTAATTGTGAGGAACTTTCTGGAAGTACAATGTGTTTATCATTGAATGAACTGAGCTTTAGCGGAGCTGCAATTAGCTGTGACTTCGGAGAACGCTGTAGGGAGTAACAGCATTTACAGCCGCTCCTTCGACCACGAGTCACCGCCACAGCATCTTTAAGTCCAATCATCTTGGATTTAAATACGAAAGAGACATCAATGTTGATACACCTTCAGCAGATACACCAGTTATAATGTGGACGCTTATACGTGTTGCACTGGGCTCAAGTGAAGCCGAGCCAAACCATTTCATCACATCATTATAAATACTGACACTAGCTCTGACATTAAGTCAGAGGGCAGCAAGCAGAAGACCGGGATTCAATTCATGTGTCTGTCACAAATCACTCGGTTACATTACATTTGATTTACCCGCTACTGTGTTGAGTAAATTCAAGCAGCACTGTTGACCTTACCTGACTTATTGTTAAAAGCTGATAACACACCAATTAACCTTTAAGGGCATTTTATAAGAGGACTGTATGGCAGAGTCTGGATTCGCTAATGCCCCACATCAGTTAGAGAACCAGAATTCTCCTTTATATGATATTTTAATGAACATTTTTAGTTGTGGCTCTGTCTCATGGCTGTAAACTATTTCTCAAATGGATTCAATGTTGTTAGTTATTTATTTTCTTGTTGTGTATTCTGATTGTACTGTTGATAATGTTTGTCATGTGTATGAATTGACTAGGTGGCCAGTTAGTTTCCCAGATGTGGGTTAGTGAAGTTTTCTAATATAGTCTAAAAAAATGATGTTTACCTGACTGCCTTTAAATGCTCTTACAGCGTAGCAATACAACAAAAGAGAGAGCAGATCCATTGAAACATAAGCAATATTGTAATAGTGCAGCTTGTCTATGCGTATTTCACACACTGCTGACTTAATAAATCCCAAACATTCTGCATATTTTATGAAGTTATTGTTTTGCAATGAACTTTTAACCTAGAGCCCTCAAACTTGCACCTACTCATACTATTATTCAACTATCAACAACCATGAAAAAGAAGGGAGCGGCATATTCTAAAAGCTCATCTAAAGATATACAACTACTTAAAATGCCTGATGGAGAGACTTTAAGCGTCTGGAATGATACAGACTTACCTGATAAAACTGTAAAGGTACAAAGCGACCATGGTGTTCATCGTCAGCAGCAGGTCCTGGAGAGCTGGAACCAACATCCCTGGGTAATCCTTGTTGCCAAGTATGTTGCATTCAAAAGCCATGGCCCTTGAGAGAAATTTAGTTTAGTTTAGCTTTAGTTTAGCTGCTTCATTCTGATCAGAGTTCTTTAATATATTATATACTTAAATTTGCTTGATTGGTAATTGTGTATCGGACACATTGAAATAGAGCAGAAGCCTTTTTAGTTCAACAAATCTCTCTCACAAGTTCCTTGATCCAAAGACTAAAGGGTGAAGGCAACTGTTTAAAATGAAAAGCTTACATCTAAGCTTTTCATCCTTAAAATAATAGTTTGAGATCAATCCAATAGCACAAAAACATTCAACAGGGAGAAACGTGAAAGATCAGACTTTAAACTAGTGTTTTTAGGAAGAGTATAGAGCTATGCAGACACACCAACTCACAAGTATGGAATGCTCACTACAGCGTAGGCCACAACAGTTACGGCGTATTGGATGTAGAAGTAGAAACCAGGCTTAACAGGTCAGGACCAGCTAACAACGAGAGACTACTACCTAGATGTTTTGTACACTGCTTTTTGCTATTGTTGTATAATTGACATCTTACTCTGTGTCTAATGCACTGTCAGAGTTAAAACTGAACAGTTCTTTGAAGGGGATGTTTGTTGAACTTGAACAAAATGTCATCCTTGCACATTTAGAACCAGTATTGTCATAGCATGACGTTTACTTTGTGTGTGATCTAAACTCAAAATACTTTGACTCGTTTTTACTGATTTGTGTGTCTCTGTAACGTAGCACAGTTCTTATAATGTAACTGAAGAAACTTAGGTCGTAGACTGATATGAAGCCCTGTGATATTTCAAGAAAATTGTATTACTCCAGGTCAATATCAGAGCATAGATGTGTTTATAAGAACTTTATAATCTGCACAGTTGTATGCTAAACACTGTTGTGTAACTTCTCCTTCTCTTATTTTTCTGCCCACTATACGCAATCATTTTTTTCTTTTAGTTGTCAGAAGACAAATCTCTGTATGATTCATGAAGGTCACAAGTTTACTGTTTACATATGTAGCTTGGCTTCAGATCAGCGTTACTTAGCCAATAGCCCACATACTTTAGAGTGTAATTCAACCAACTACCACTTCCCCTAAGGAATAAAAACTCCAATTCTCTCAACAGATCACCTCTCACTCTGCTAGCCAACTCTTTTCTCTCTCTCTCTCTCTCTCTCTCTCTCTCTCTCTCTCTCTTTCTCTCTCTCTCTCTCTCTCTCTCTCCCCCTCCCTGGCTGTCTATGCTGCAGGGCCTGAGGAAAGAGGCCTCTGTGGTGGATGGAGGCAGAAAAAGACAAATAACTTTTCAGGGCACAGGAAGTAGGTCATCCTCCCATCAAATATTTATTTCTCACACTGTGCCTTAGGCTCATAGAGGACTCCCTCTTTAGATACTGTGTGTGTGTGTGTGTGTGTGTGTGTGTGCGTGCGTGTGCGTGTGCGTGTGCGTGCGTGTGCGTGTGTGCGTGTGTGCGTGTGTGCGTGCGTGTGCGTGTGCGTGTGTGTGCGTGTGTGCGTGTGTGCGTGTGTGTGTGTGTGTGTGTGTGTGTGTGTGTGGTTTCATACTCATATCATTTGCACATATATGGTCGCTCATAGTCTGAATCTAAGCACAGAGATGTTGAATATTTGGAGGTTTTGCTCTCTTAAGGAGGTCTGACCTCATTTTTTTCCATCTAGTCCTTTCTTTATTAAACATATATTGAAATAGCTTTTCACTGACAGCTATATGTGAATATTGATTTTTTTTTCTGGTGCATGAGCATTT